GGTAGATGGGCTTGAAAGAAAATCAATGTCTTTTAGGAAAATGTGATAGATTCCTTAAATTTGTCAAAGCTCTTTTCATCATTTTTTTCCTTTTTGCTTAGTAGTAAATGTTTTCACAGCCTCCAGTGCTTTCTTTCTTATCGACTTATCAATAGACTAGTTTTTTTAACATATAAGATAGTTAGATATCAATTAAAGAAGTTAAATTTTAATTACGAGTTTAACAACTATATCTTTGGAGATGGTGTTAAAATACAAAAGAGACGAATTGGCTATGTAACAAAGCTGAGCAATGCATCTACTACTGTCCTTGCATCTAGAGTGGGGTAAGGTAGATCATAATTAGGATCTCTAGCTGTCTTCAAAGAGACTTTCATTGTCCCTTTAAGCATTTATAAAGCATGACTTGCCTAGTAACATTGTACATGTGCCCTAATGCAACCACATGTCCGTCATCTACCAAACAATCAATGTTGACCTCGCCCTAAACAAATTAAAAAAAGAAAAAAATTGTAATATGAACAATAAAAGTAGTATTATGTGTAAGGCTAGTAAAATGAATAATAACACCTCAAGTAAGAGCTGAGATGGAATTGTGAAACTATCATTCACACTAAGGCTACCGTCACCTAATAAAAGCCCCAACCTATGCCAGTTCAACAACATGTTTATGAGTCTAGATTGTTCTTATATTTGTTTGTGATTGTGCTTGTATCTACTGCTTCTATTTCGCTAGCTCTTACCTCAACTCTTGAACCTTAACAGAAGAAAAAGCCTTTTTACTGTGCTTGAATCCATCTTCAAAGTAATCTTTTTTTGTGACTTTAAAGCCGATGCCTCGAACATGAATGGGATGATCAGTATTCCCTAAAACCTTCTCCAATATATCCTCATCAATAGTTAGAGTGCCTGCTAATGCCTCCTGAGTTAAAGTCTCCTACAAAGCAAAAAAAGTAAAGTAAATAAGTAAAAACAAATAAATTTTAATAATATTATATCAATATATCATTAATACTTACTATTGTTTCAACAATCACTTTTGTTTTTAGGTTGTCAATATTACCTTCTTTATTTTTTCGAGCCTCAGCTTAAATCCTACCATGAGATATAAAATCCTCCAACATTTGCTCTTTCCCAATTAAGCCTTTTTTAATGCTGGCATATCCCTTGCATCTAGCCTTATAGGTATATTCATTCTTCTTTGCCAACTCTTTATTTTTGGCACTTAATGCCTTTAAAAAACACCAAAAATGACAAGTCAATTAATATAAAAAGGAAGTGACAATAAAAGCAACAATATATAAATAAAAACACGTTAATACTACCTTAAACTCTGGAATGTGATGTAAATCGACAAAAGCTTTCCATTCATCCTCACTTAGAATTATCAAAATGAAGGAAGGAACTGTATCTTCAATAACCTTTATGTCAAGGTTCACCAAGAATTTACAGTAACAAAACTTCTAAAAGATCTGAGAGCTATCCTAACTTTTACAGAACAAACTTCTTATGCCTCTCCTTACTCTCACATCCTGACTGCAAGACAAATATGTTAATTTAAACAAACAACTACAAAACAAGTTTTAAAAAATAAGTAAAATGATAGTATCTTACTGTTAAAGTTTTTTACACTATATCTCTCATTGCGAGAGTTGCATTCTTTCAAGATTTCAAAGTAATAGGCACTAAAGACTTCACTGCTATCCCAATGTAACTAATGAAGTTATGACTGTCGACTACTTGATTCTTATTGTTTTACTTAACAGTAAACTTTCTTCTTTCATTTCTTGCTTTAGTAACTTCTTCCATCACAACCAACCTCTTCTTTAATTGTTCTTCTTGCCTATCAAGGTCAGCCTTCTTCTTAGTTGGGTTATCATTTTGCCTACTCAGCCTACTAGATTTAGAGCTAGTGTTAAGATGATCATGCTTAGTAACCATTTACCTATGAAAGCAATAATAATCAAGATTCAATAAATAATAAAATAATAAGTCAAATTATAACAACAACAACATGTGCACTTTCTTTGATAAGTGAAAAATAACATAACTACCTATTTATGTTGTTCTTTTCTTTTCCTTATTTTAACTATTTTTTAACTAATTTCTTCTTGACTTTAACAATTTTCTTCTTCTATTGAATTTATTTTCCCCTCTTAAAAATTTAAATTCCCTCATTATGATCACATTTTATGTAGAAAGCATCATCTTCAACACTGTCTACACCATCATCATTTTCAAATGATATCCCATGAAATATATCAACTTCAACCTTATCATTTCTCTGATTTTGCTCATTTTTTACATCTTTCATTTCTTCAACTTCTTTGTTACTCCACAAAACAATAGATCATTCCTTATCAACTGGATTATGGATATAAAAAATTTGTTTGACTTAGGAAGAAAAAATGAAAAGATCCCCTGTAAACCCTTCCTTATTCAAATTCACCCTAATCAACCCAGAGTCATCAATATCTAGCCTATTCTTATATTCAATCTACTTACAACCTATAACCAAAGCTCGAAAGGAGATGTAATCTAACTCTCAAATGTGCTAAATTACCCTGAAGTAATGCATTTTTGCATAAATAAATTTTTTTATCTTTCGCACTAGAAATATGCATGCCATCACCTATAGTGGATACACCATTATTTTGCATCGTGGTTCGATCATCATGCTCCTTCATATAGAACTTGTACCCATTGCTAGTATAGCTCATGTAAGAAACTATGTTTGTTCGAACCTTGTGCGAGTCATCTTAATCTATTAGGATTGGGATTGTATTTCCCTTTGATATGCTCTTTCAACCAGTGAATGAACTGTTTATTATACAGTTTGATGATTCAACTCTCTAATTGATGTTGGTGTTGCCTTTTTAGCTTTCCCTTGTGAATCTTTGCATATTCATCAATCTTTGGAGATTTGTATAGCACAAAAAGGTATACTTTTTTTCATTGGTCACTTGAGATAATGACAACTTTTCTTCCCTTATCCATAATGTCCTTATTTAAGAAAGATGGGAAAAATAGAAAATTATTTAATGAGTCAGAAGTTTAATTACTTCAACTATGCTTATATTTGTTCTTTTCAAGGGCAAAATTAAAATTAAAAAAATCAGCAGCATAACAATTTCAAATGAGTATTCCCCAGATATTATGTCCTTTCTTTACATTATTTTAATCTACAAAATTTTAAACTACTTCAAGAAACAAAATAAAAGTATAACATATCTAATATTCCTCACAATTAGAAATTACGATCAAGATAGCCAACTTCATTGTGATCAAGTTTCAGTCACATATTATAGTGCTAAAATGTCCAATTCATAAAATTGATGGAAAAAAGTTACATGCAAGCTTTTCAAAAGCAAAACCACTAGAGAACAAAATAAGTTTTCATACTAAATCATCTGTAAGCCTTAACTACACCTTAATTTAAGACATCATTGCACCAACCATAATTGAAAATAAAAGGAGTTAAATTACATGCCACACTAAAAAATAATTAAACTCCCTTTGAACTATAAAACAACTTTAACAATGGTTATATTTGCAAAACTAAAATTTAAAAAAAAAATTAATAGCATAACAGCATAAAATTGAGCATTTTCTAGGCTTATTGCCCTCTTTTAACAACTTGAACATTAAAATAACAACAAATCCATATTAAAAATCACTTAATCAATCACATTTAACAATTTCACAATTTAAATTTCAAAATAGGCAACATACAAAGCATTTTTAGTCAACTAAAATTCAAGCACATTGTATATGAAATAATCCTCACTTTAAATAATCATAACCAAATAAACATCTCAAATTTTATACAACACACGAACGCAAGGAAACACGGCTGAAGGGAGATGAACCACCAATCTGGCTACTAGAATGGAAGAAGAAGATGAAGTTAGGAAGAGAGAGAGAGAGGAAGAGGAAGAGAGGACTTTCGTGTTCAAACACCACGCAATGAAGGACAAAAATGGCAACGAAGAAAATGATGGCGTTCCAACAGTGAAATAAGGATGGGTTGGGCCAAAAATGTCTACTCAATGCTTAGGGATGGAGTTTCAACCTTAGGTAGTTGGTTTTGCAGAGATAAAATGAAGTTTTGAGAGTTTAAGAAGTAATAGTTTTACAAATACGAACAAACATTTAAATCCTCTTATTTAATAATTCTGTTAAAGAACCGTTGAATGTATGTTTATTCAATGGTTCCTTAACATAAACCATTACATATTATTAACATTTATTCAATAGTTCTGTTTAAGGAACTGTTGAATAAACCAATGATGTGATCCAATGCTAATCTGAAGCATTTACTCTATGGTTACTCTATTTAATTATTTAGTATAATGCCTACTTTTTCAATGGTTATAGTTTTAATCGTTGAATAGTTGTTTTTTGAAATTTCATTTTTTATTCAATGTTTTTTTATATAATCATTATATATACTTTATTTTTTAGTAGTGTTATTATGCCTTTACCTCCACTGTCTGCCAAACGAGACCATAGAGTTATATCGATAAGGAATGTAACTAAGTTGATCGGTTTATGTAATAGTAACATACTTGACAATCACAAGGGCGAGAAAGCATGCTCTAGAGGTCGGGCGCTGATGTAAGGATCGCGTTTTCACACACGCTGAATTGCTTGTCGCCGAATCTCAAGTATGAAGTATGTAGACAACGTTTGAAGGTGCTTTTACGAGATAACGCTGGGGAGCTCCATAGATAATCATGAGATATTTGATTTTGATCATTTTGTTTAATATTAAACGTTACATTAATGTGCGTGACGTAATGCACCATGTAGGGCTTGATTCAAGAAGTAAGTGTAAACTACTTTTACGTTTCTTAATTAGTTTCAGATAGGTCCCCAAAACATTATTACTCGCACTTCACTCATTTCTTCCTTTCTCTTCCTCTTCCGTCTTCTCTCTCCTATTTATGTTTGGATTTTTTTCACACCATAAATTTAGTCGTATCTCACGGACAAACAAGAAACCAATAAGACAACGAATATTAGCTAGCTTCCTACACGCACTGACCCGCAAATTTCTCTTATAGTAATTTCAACAACATGCTGTTTATACCTCAATACTGCCCACAAATGAACGTGCATATCTAAAAGTCACAGGAAGTCGGCTCCACCTTCTGATCACACTTCACAACAGTACGTAACACCCATCATTAACATGCATATGTATATATATGCTCTGAAAAGTAAAAACTAATTGTCTGGGATTTACTCTTTATATGTTTAGGTGTTTATTTATCTTGGTTTATCATTCACTTTGTTTACGGATGCTTGCCAAAATTCGCCTCAAATCCCTATTGTGCACATAAACCTTCAGCCCGTTCTTCATGAACAAAGTCAGTGACATTTTTTGCTCCACCTCATGGCCGGGAACAACGGTGAGCCGTTGCCGGAGTAGCACCGCTGCCGCAATTGACTTCATCTGTAGGTAAGCTAAATCCTTCCCCAAGCATATCCTCGGACCAGCATTGAAAGCAACAAACTTGAAGGAATCTTGCATCGTGAACTTGTCATCGTCTGATGAAAACCACCTCTCAGGCCGAAATTCCAAGCAATCATCACCCCATGTCGACCTCATCCGGCCAGCAGAATATATCGAATACGTCACCGATGATCCTGCCGGCATAAATGTGCCGTCTGGAAGCACGTCATCGGCCGCCACATGCTTGGAATCCTCTGGCACCGATGGATAGAGTCGTAGAGTCTCGCACAACGCTGCTTTGAGATAGACCAGACGCTCCAGTTCTTCGAAATCCAAAGGCTCATCCAGCCATCTTGCCACATCATCACCACGTGTCTCCATAAGAACTGTGCATATTTCCCGCAGGATTTTTTCTTCCACTGTGGGGTTCTGAATCGCCAGCCAGAAGAACCAGCTCAACGCAACTGATGACGTGTCACGTCCAGCTAGGATGAAGTTCAACGCCACGTGTCTTAGGAACTTGTCTGAGTAGGTGTGCTTTTTCTTCATGAACCTTGACAACAAATCATCGTGCGGGTTCTCATCCTCTTGCTGACTCATCAACTCGAGCTTACGCTTATCAATCACCCTGGACAAATACTCCTCAACGAGGACAAGGCTTCGGCTTAAGCTGACTTCCATTCCGAAGCCAAGCCATTTCTTAAACCTCCAGAACACCTCTGGCAAAATAAACCGCTGGAGCGAGGCTTCGGTGGCTCGGTCAAAAGCCAATGCGAAGCCATTCTCCGGCAAGTTCGGCGCGCAAGTCTGTGGGTCTTTTCCAAAAGCCAAGCCGCAAATGTTGTCAAATGTGAGCCGCAGCATCAAGTCTTGCAAATCAACCGGCTCAGATTTCAACTCGGCCGTCTTGAGAATCAAGCAGAGCCGGTCCTTGATGGCCCGATTCACCCAGCGAGCCATGGCTTGGCGCAATGTCCTGGTGGTGAATTCCAGCGCGGCGGTCTTCCGCTGGAACAGCCACGCGCTTCCATCGGAGTTAAAAATGCCATCACCTAGAAGATCGTGGAAAACAGCATGCCACGTGGGCCCCTTGGGGTAATTGTCGAATCGGGTCTTGAGTATGTGCTCCAGGTTCCTCGGGTTGCACGTGACAGTCACGAGACCTTGCCTGTTAGCGAGGAAAGGAACGGCGCAGATGCAAGTCTGGTACGTGCCACCACAGGCGCGGAGGTGGTCGCTGATCCAGTCATGCATGCGGTGGCAGTTCTGAATCAAGCCAGGCAGGCTGCCCAATAGAGGCCATACACGTGGACCCTTGAGGGACCGCGAGATGAATGTGAACCAAATAAGGTAAGCCGTGATGGCCGATAAAAGCAGGAATGCCGTAGAGGTATCCATTGACCACAAGAATCAAACTAAGTGCAATGACGCTCCCTGTATCTCATGTGGGGAACAAACAGGGGATTTAGGAAAATGAGTATGAGTGAGACAATGATTGGTTAAAGGAGAACAAGAGGAAAGAAAGAAGGATGAAGATTGAGGAAGGTGTGAAGGAAGACGGGAAGAGAGATGAAGTGGAGGGGAGGGGAGGGGAGGGGAGGAGAGATTTATAGAGGAGGGAGTTATTAATTTGAAAGACTCATGAGGTGCAAGTGCAGCATTATAAATGCACTCAAGTCAGTTGTTGAGGCATTTTGAACTAAATTCACTTTCATCCACAGTTCCACACCCTCTCCCCCTCTATTACACACAAACCTAAATCCCTTCATCCTTCTCCTGCCTCCATCATTAAAAAAAAAAAAAAAACATTTGCATCATGCCTTCACACATATCTTCAGCCTTCTACTTTTTTAATTGCCTTTTATATGTAGTATACATATCTTGTTGCATTTGTGTGCTAATAGGACTCGCTCTTTTTTAAGAGATTGAATAATCTCTAGTCTCTTTTGTTAAAGAATTCTAGTCTTCTTCTCGAATTTTAAAAAAGGTTATTAACTTTATTTAAAAATAGAAAAAAAAAGATTTGACTTTATCTACATCTATACTCTCAAGAGTCAAAGGAAGAGTGGCACAGGCTGTTAATTGATGAAGAAAAATGGGAACTGCGTATCAAAGTGTGATGTTGTTTGGGGCAATAATAAATCAGTAGAGGAAATAGAGAATTGGTTGGGTTTAGGTGAGCGACCCATACATCATTTATTTGTGGGTGAACTGTATTCTTGCCTCTGTATCAACGTCCATGCATTGCTTCCCTGCAAGCTCAATAACAAGCCCAAGAAAATTATAAAATATCGGATTCCTCTTCACACTCAGAGTTGACCTTCCCTTACCATTAATGGCTTTAAAGATATCAGCAGATAGTAGAATATATGGAAAAGAAAAAAGAAAAGAAATTATGCCTCTCAACCTCTGTAAATTAAAGGCAAAGTCAAGATTACATTAAACTTCACAGATAGTGTGAAAGGTCAAAATCATGTGAGCAGGCAGGGTCATGAATAGAGTTTGAGGAACAGATTCAAAAGCGGTGCTTCAGTTTTCAATTTAACTTGATCCTACTTCTTAATTCATCGCTTACCATTGAGAAAAAGGCATAATGAAAAGGCACTCTCTGACGAACTGAAAACTTCGGTTTCAGACTTACAGTATAAAGGTCAAAGCTCCTCGAACGTGACAAGCTTAATGAAAACAAAGTCAACGCAGAGGATGAAATGGCAGGCACATCAACGCAATGAAGTTTGTTGCATTTAAGACCGTCGGACAAAAATCATTATACTTCAGGATTTTAACTGATAATCATATCAACAAAACAGAGTATTTAGTGGAAGAACAATCTGAGATAGATAGTTTTTTGAATGATAAGATCGTCAATGCAGAGATTAAAATAAGCAGCTACATAGGAGTATTGGAAAAGGAGGTAGAAGTAGATCTTCGTTGTCCTTTTTGGGGGGGAGGGGGGGACACCCTTCTTTCTTTGGTTTTTAAACCTGAAGGTTGTTATTCATTGAACTTGTAGTTCTTCCTCTTCATACGTACATACAAGGGTTCGTGAATCATTGTTTTTTTTTTTTATTTAATCATAGAGGGAATTATTAATCAGATAGTTAAAACTGCAACAATAAGGCAAAATATTAGGGGGGAAATAATAACAGTTTTTGGTTTCTAAAGCCAAGCTTAGAATAGATGTAACATGCATATATATATATATGTATGTATGTATGTATGTATGTAAATCAAATGAATCTCATATATTACTGATTTAAGATGGGTGCAAGTCTCTCACCTTGCTTTGAGTCGTAATGAAAATTCTGATGGTGAAGCATTTTGAAATTAAACCAGGTATCCAAACCTTCTAAGAAAGAAGAGCCTCATTGAAGATTTGAACTGGGCAAAATAAATCTACATTATCTAAAAAAAAATCTCAAATTCCTCTGATCCAATTGAAGGAAAGAATTATTCTTAACTATCGATGAAGATAGTCAATTTCTATTTTAGCAGAAGAAGAAATAATGAGATATACATGTTATAATTTAATAGGTCTACTTAGGGATGTGCTTGTGGCGCGGAGCGAGAAAGCGTTTATGATCTTGGTTTAACAAATCAAGAAATGTTTTTTTTTTTGGCATTGCAATTAAAAAAGATAGTTGCTTTAATAAAATTTTGCTTGAAATATTTACTATGCATTTTAACTTCATTCAAAGTTCATTTGAAAATTATTATATCCGCACAAAAATAAGAAACTACGTATTAACATCAGTTATGACTTGGGATGAAGAGACATGCAAAGAGGAAACAGTTTGTATATCAGAATACAGCAATTGCTTTAAACAAAAATGATCACTGGTTTTTCCCCCCGGACTAGCTAGATAAGCAGAATAGAATAGAGAAGAAGCTATCATATTTCAATCCCTGCACTGCATGTCCCTTTGCTTTTTTAGGCCAAAGCAAAAGGCACAACTTCCGTGGTAGTGAATTAGCGGGCGTTTCACAGTTCTGAGTCATTCAAAAACAAATTTCACCAGCATAGCAATTTAAGTTGCTTCATTTGATCATTTCAATCATCGCCTTGGGAGTCTAAAATGCTAATCCACATGATCAGAATCACATAAAATACGAAGTTGAATCACATCAAGAGCTATACAATACAACTCAATGTAGGACAACACAACAAAGAAGGACTCGGCGAATTCATACTATAAAATGTTTTCACTGTAACATTCATGATGAGAAAGATCGCTACACCAAGCTGGCATTTCTTTCTCAAACTTTTGACTTACAATTTATCGTCATCATCTTAACTTCCATCCGAGGAGCCCCTGACCAAGGAACCACGACGATGGCCACCAACAATCACATCTTTGAGTCGTATTATGGGTGCTAGAATCTTGCTTCTTCCCTATGACCATAATAGCATTCACGATGTTAAATATTTCAACTTGATGGAGAGAAGATTGGACAGCTCAGAATTAATAATACAATTTAGAAAATGTAAAGGCCGCCTCAAGTTCACAAAATTTAAAACCGCACTCCTAATCCCAAATGGACATTCAATTTAAAGCCTCATCCCCCACCCCACCCCCAAAAATATATATATATATATATATATATATATCTCAAGCCTCAGTTCTGCTATTGACAAAGCTTACCCAAGTTAGCAAACTGTCAGCACCATCACCACAGCCATCAATAATATAAACTTGTGACTAGCAACTTAAAGCTGGACAGAGCACCATCAGGTCAATACTTCTTTTGAGTGAAATTAGGCAGGTGGAAAATAATGGCAAATTTAGACTCTAGTGCTCCATTTTTCACCTAGTTTTTTCTACAACCAAGCATAGCTTTATTTAACCACAACAAACTTAAATGCCATCTATACATGCAACGTCTCTCATTATATCCCCTTTCTATATGAAGATACTCAGTTTATTTTGTTTAAATTTCAATTCCTCTACAATTATTTCAGAGAACAGGTTCTCTTGGCTCATATAGAGCGGAAAAAATGCACCAAACCCAGAGATACAAAGTGTTCACATAGCGCCCATTCCAATTCTCAAAAGATAAATTTTCCTGGACATAGTTACCAGGAAGAATCTATTAGTCTTTACCATGTCTTGAAGAGAAATGGATGAAAATTAAGGGGGACCAAAACAGTAGCTTGAGTCATTGACTAATTGTAAAATATCCTGTAAATTAACTAACATATTTTAAAAAGAACATGTCTTAGAGAAAACTTTCAATGATGGACGCACCTCATCATTTACACCGCTGTGCAACTGAAGTTGATAAGCTCTTTCCTGCTGCCAGCGCTGACCAAGCATTACAAGGCCCATCACTGCCGCTGCAATGAAAATAGACCAATATGCATTTGCCTCCTTTGCATGAGCATATAAGGCAGCAGCTCTTCGCTTCCACCAAGCTCCACAAGGAAGACCTGATGGCTGGCATTTATCATCTTTGGGAAAAATCTTTGAATTTGATAAATCAAAAGAAGTGTTTGACTCTTGTTCAGCAGGTTCAATTATTTCAGACGCAACTATATTATCCCCATATGCAGTTGCACCACCAAAATCTGTCTCACTGTGTAAAGAACTGTATTTTGCAGTATCATACATACTTTCCTCTTTGCCAGTCAAACCAAAATCTTCTAGCGTTGTACCTTCTCCAAACTGTTTACAATGAACAGAAAACTTGCTCATCTTATCATCAAAATATGGAATATCTGAAAATGCTTCTGAAACATTCATTCTGGATATCATCACATTTTCTTCATCCTTTCCGCTAGGTGTGGCCCCATCATCAACAATAACTTCAGAGACATCTTTGCCTCCAGATTCACCAAGAATCTCACTATAATCAGATTCCAGTGGCAAGTTTTCATGCTCACTGGGTGGGAAAACAAAATGACGAGACATGAATAGGGCACGTGACGTTTCAGCTTCATCCCGTGTATATGCGTCTCCCTTGTCATCATCTTTCAACTCAACTTGCCCAGAATCAGGAGCAGCTTCATACGCTGATGCTGTAAGCGTTACGACCTCCCATTCATTCCCACGAGAAGTCCTCTCTTCTCCATCCTCATTATCTGCCATCTTTTACCTTCGTCAGAAAAAGGATATCAGAATACCAATTCTATCCAGAATGAACAAAAATATACAGGTAGTCACAGAAAACACGAACATGCACAAGGAGAGAAGAAATTGAAGAAACCCCAAAAAAAAAAAAAGAAAATAAATAATTTATAGACCAAAAGAGAATTTTTTTTTTTAAAAAATCCTAAATGCTAAATCAGCTTCGCTCAAAGTTTCTTATGGGATAATGCTTTTTCTTTTTTAGAAAAACAAATTGCTTGAGCCTGCACAATTTCTGCTACCATATAAAAACAAAACCAAAACCGACCAAGTTTTCTTGTTATAGAGGACATCCAGCCTTTGACGATTATTTCATTTCTAGTAAAAGAACCTATCGTAAATCTTAGCCTTTTACTTATTTACCAGTAAAAAATATCCTAATTCCATCCAGTATGCCGAAGCTTTACCAAGTCATCAATCCATTGAACAAAAAGTAAACGTGCACAGGCACATGACGACTTAAATACAGGCATGTAAATGGATTAGAAACCCCGCTAGGAGACCAAAACGGTAATAATCAGAAGATAGCAACCATATCGGAGCCAACAAAATAATCAGATAGATCAGGTTATCCAACCATCGGAGGTCCCCCCCCCCCCAAAAAAAAAACCGTAAAAACAACATAGTAGCGGGAAGAAAAATACTTACAGAAGCAGAATCCGATAAGATCGACGGTGAGACGACCGTCCAAACAGATTTACGATGAGATTAAAACTGAATCTTCGTGCTCCGGAAATGGGTTTTATACACAGGATATATCGGGGAAGGGAACAAGAGACCGGTGGTATCGGTAAACGGGGTCGTGACCGGCTGTAGTAGGTAGAGTGAGGAGGGAGAGATTGGTGTGATTACGGGACTGGGAGTAAGAAAGTGGGGTTACCGGCAATATTGCGTTGCGTGGGAGGAGGGGTAAGGATCTAACTGTCTCAGAGGACGTCAAGCACTAACTTGAAGAGAAATAAATCATATATTATAAAAATAACAAGTAAATAGTACTAAAAAAATATAATAAATTTATAACTCATAAGTTAACATATTAGCCTGAGTTTACACTTGATACAGCTAATATAAGACAGTATTAAAGTCTAATTTTGATATCCATTTAAAAACTAACTTTGATGATAAAAAGTATGTGAGTAGAATCTAATCTAATGTGAGCCAAAAAAAAAAAACTATAACTTCATTAAAAAATTTCAAAAATACATATATTTAAGCATCATTGCATCATTTCAAATTTAAAATTAATTAAATATTTTTCAGTCAAATTATAGCGCTATTCAGTTAATATTTAATAAAAACAAAAAATTAAAATCAACTTAAAATTTTTGAATCTAGCCTTTTGCCTTTCTTATTTTTATAAAACTTGTTTTGATTTCGTGGATTGCACAAAAATTTAAATTTTTTAAAATATCACAAAAAGAACATTTCAATTATTCAAAAAAAAAAAAAGGAAGCTTGAGACCTCAGTAAAAGGTAAATGAACAGCTTTGATTCTTGCAACTTAAAAAAGCGGAATCAGAGAACTTTTCTTCATTCAGGCTCTGGTCGCTTTTCGATGGATCTTGGAAGGTTGTTAGTGACAAGCATCATGACTACACTTTTGTTATTAGAATAGTTCAGACTTTAGATTTAGAGATTCATTCCTTTAAAATAAATAAATAAATTAGAGAAAACCTTAGGTTCATTTTTCAATTTAAGAATACTTATGTTAAATAATTATCTTAAATTTTTCAAAACATTTTAAAACTATGTAATTCTCAAGAAAAACAAATAATTTGAAATTTATCCTTTTATCGTTTAAAGTGGTTTTATAAATTATAAATTTACCGTATGAATATTTGTAAATTTGAACAAACATAGCAAGTAGTAACATAACTCCTTTTTTAGTGAATTATAAAAGTAGAAGAAATTGCTCGGATGAGTTTGCTTTTGAGTGTAGGAAAACATCAGGCATATGGAGCTGCTCCTTTGTTGAGGTGGGGTGATGATGGGTGACAAAGATTCCTTATCGTTATGGATTTTGTTCTTATATGTTTGTCATCCCAAATTATTTTTTTTTTTCCTTTTGGTATAACCAAATTAAATTTTCTTTATCCTCCACTTTTTTTTCCAAAAATTTAGAATGTCTTCGGGCTTCGAAATGTAAATAAAATTATTTGACAAGTCAATTTATTTCAAATGTGAATATGAGTTATGATGATTCATTGGGTCATGTTTGATAGCTGCAATTGAAAGGTTTTTGAGAGAATAGGAAAGGAGGATAGGCCATACAAGCTTAAATTTGAAGGGATTGAGGTTAAGGATGGGAGTAGAATTGAAATTAGGAATGAGGCTTTACAATTAAGCTTGGTATGAAATAATAATTATAAGGAATACTTACCTTTATTTCATTTTATAATCAAACATTAATTATGAAAAGATTATAATATTCGTAGTAATTAATAAAAATATCTAATCCTAAAACATTTATTTATTTTTTGTCATGATCTAACCCCAACTCTCCTTTCCTTTGCTGTAATTACTCTCTTCTTCTTATCACATATTGTCAAGGATGTTAGAAAAAAAAAAAAAAAGGGGAGGATGATAGTGTTATGATGATTGCATGATGCGCCGTAACATATGATGCATATGTTGTAGTGTATGGCATAGCGAGAGAGTGATTTTTATGCATCATCCATGATAACAAATAATACATTAATTTGAACACACACCAATTTAGGAAAAATTATAATTTTGCCCTAAATTTATTTATTTCTTTCTGACATAATCTTATGCTTTCCATTTGTATTAAACTGATTTTTACCATGTGTTGAGAGTCCAGCCAAGGTTTCAAAAAGGGTTTTTTTATTGAGATCCCAACTTTGAGTGATTTTATTATGAATTAGTTACCTCCTTTCCATGATGGTAAGTGATTAGGATTACCATGATGATATGTTATGCATGGTATGTGTTGGTAATGTCAAAATAGACATTACAAATTTTTTATGGCACGAAGCTATGGGCAATTGTGAGTACTTCTCCAGTATTGATGTGGTTCTGCCACCGAAGCCTTTCTGCATGGTTCTCGATGGTGATGGAATGAACTTTTAAGGACGATGTGAATGGTGAGAATGATGTATAGGTGGTGGAAGATAGTGATCAAAAATGGAGAAGATGATCACAAATGGAGGAGGGTATAGGGAGACATAAGAGGGAGAAGTTGAATTAAAAGATTGACTTGACAGTGGAGGGTATTTTAGTCTGTAAAATTTCAATTATAAGAATAAAATTTTAGTATCACCTCCCCCCATGTGTTCCACCAATGCCATATAAGTGGGCTTCACCAATCCCAAACTTTAAGTAATCAATCCTACCAGACATCTTAATATGTGTTTTATCAATCCCAATCCCATTTTCTTCCCTTAATGCCTCATACCAAACAAAGCCATAAGCTTTTCATAGACTGTTTTGTATATCTAATTTGGATGAGAAAAATAAAAAATATTTAAACATTGAAATTTGAAATAAAGAAATAAATAAAGCTAAAGAAGATAACACAAGTATTCCCAAGCTTTACAACATTACAATGGAAGAGTTATTTTTTTTTTTTCTAGTTACACGGAAACCGCAACACGCACATGCTCAATCACAATTCCAAGGGCAGGATTGAATCCTCATGCTCCCCTTATTGGAGACGAGACAATGCCATTTGATACAGAGCCATTGGCCATTGGAAGAGTTATCCTGATCTACTAAACATGTCAAGAAGAATTGTTTCTTTTCTCCTAAATTTCTTAAATGCTCTTAAAATGTCATTGTGAAAATGCCGAATCGTTTTTTGGGGAAAAGGCCGTCTGTTTAGACCGAAATTCGAAAGAAAAAATGATCAGCTTCATGGACACGTGGGTTGATTTTATTGAGGACAGCCGCAAGAAAGAAGCTGTTTGGATGGCGGGTAAATATAAACCATTAAAATGAGTGATATTGATATATCTTCCGTTAGGGTCGGGTAGGAGGAGACTTAAGGAAAATGGGGGACTTGTACGCCTTGGACTTCGACGGAGTTCTCTGTGATAGCTGCAGAGAAAGCTCTATCTCCGCCGTCAAGGTTCGCCTCCTTTACCCTCCTCTGATTGAAGAAAGCAACGAAAATACAACAAATGTTTTTGTATCATTTCTAATTGAAACAGTAGGTTCGATTACACGGTTCCCCAATTCATTGTATTCAATTCTGTCAGAATACGAAGATTAAGGTGCTCAAATGTTTTTGTATAACCAATTGAAACAGTAGATTCGATTGCACGGTGTCCAAATTCATCGTATTCAATTCTGTCAGAATACGAAGATTAAGGTGCTGATCTGTTTGTCTTGCATCTTGAAACTTCTCTTTAGGCTGCTAAGGTGAGATGGCCTGGTTTATTTGACGGCGTCGATTCAGCCACAGAGGATTGGATTGTTGACCAGATGCATGCGGTTAGTATTTCTGGATGGCTTAAATTTGGCTTATGCTATGGATTCATGCTGCTTTACTTAGATAAGCTATGTTGTGGATTCTGTGATTTGGCTTGAAATCTCTAACTAGTGGAGGCATAACAGGAAGGAAACAAGAAGCTAGCTTTAATTTAGTCGAAGTTTGGGTAATGAATTAATGTTTTATGTTTTTGAGGATTTATTGTGGTGAATAAATAGTCCTTTCCATGATCCTTTTTTTTTTTTAACCTTTTTCAGCTTCTGAAACGATGTCTTGTTTAAGCGTACCTAAGAAAATGAAAAGGGCCATAAATCATTAAATCATGTGGAATTTCAAAACTGAACATGGATGTAAAGTTGAATTTGATTGGAGAATTTCCTTTTGCTGGTTTTCTTGTTAAATACCTTATAAGGCTTATGCTTGATAATGTAACTAGAGGTGTAAATGAAAGCTGTCTTGTTAATCTCAGTTCATTTATGAATGAACAAGTGAGCCCAGAATCAGATCATTTAATAAATAAATCAAGGTTGACCGGAACTTTTGGCTAGATCAAAGATTGAGCTTTAATTCAGTTTTGGTCTGTTTTAAATGAACGAGCCTGAGTGCATTAAAGCTTGCTCGGCTTGATTGCTGCTATCATGATGTGCTTTGATGATTATTGTAGGGGACAATTTTGATGATTATTTTGAGTGCTTCCCATTTCAAGAAAAATCCCATATAGAATGTTCAGCTACTTTTATTTGCCCTCGCATGAGATAGTCAGATAAACTTCAAGAATTCTGAATGTTAGGTGCGACCAGTGGTGGAAACTGGATATGAAAACATTTTGCTTGTGAGGCTATTGCTTGAGACAAGAACACCTTCCATGAGGAAGTCTTCGGTGGGTATACTTCCTACAACCCAGACTTAAATTAGAACTTCATTATTCTTCATGAGTACTATAGCCTTGAATCTACTTATGTTTTAAAAAAAACTGGTGCCAGCACTAGGACAGTTGACTGATATAGCTCTACTGCAAGGTTGCGGAGGGCCTTACAGTTGGGGGTATATTGGAGAATTGGCTTGTGTTGAAGCCCGTTATCATGAAAGAATGGGGTGAAGAAAACAGGGCTGCTCTAATAGATCTTTATGGGAAAATCAGAGATGAATGGTTGGAGAATGATTTCACTACTTGGATTGGTGCGAACAGGTAGTTGAACCAATTATTGTTGTCGTACACTTGTAACAACATGCATGATAGAAATACCTAAAGCCTTGTGCAGAGGAGAATTATTAGGATGAACATGTGTACGATAGAGAGATAGACCATGCCATTGTAGGATAAATATGTAAGCACATTAAAGGTGAGACTTGCTGGAAAGTATGTCTAATTTGCTTATATATGGTTGTCTTGGTCTACATGGCCTTTTTACTTCAGACTTATTTTAAAAATTTTCCACATGGAGATAGATTTGGGTATGGACCATACAACAATAAGCTTTATCCCACTACGTGGAATTGGCTACATGAATTGTGCAACGACATAATACTCTATCATTTACCAAGCTTTTAGGAATATTGTTAACTAAAGGTCTCGGTTAACAACTTTCATAAGCGTTCTCTTTGACCTTTCTCTACTCCTCTTAACAGAGCTCAAAATTATCTATTCCACTCTTCTTACTAGTGCCTCTCGCAGTTTTCTTTGTATATGTCCAAATCATTTCAAACGATTTTCTATCATTTTCCCCTCGATGAATACTATGCTCACTTTTTCTTGCAGGTGCTCATTTTGGATTTTATCTTTACGTGTATGCCCGCACATCTATATCAATATTCTTATTTTTGCTACTCCAACTTTATGCTCATGCTGTCCCATTAAAGTCCAACATTTACTACCATGTAGCATAGCTGATCTTACAGCAGTTTAATAAAACTTTCCTTTAAGTTTATTAGATACCTTACAATCACAAATAACTCATTTAACCTTTTTTCAATTAAATCACCTATCTTGTATCCTATATGCAATATTCCCATCAATTTTCCCATTATGTTGAATAATAGCTCCCAAATATTTAAGCTTTTTCACTTGAGATATAATCTGATCTTCTAATTTCACTTCCAAATTATTACTGACTAACCTCTTAAGAAAATTACAATGCAAATATTCTGTCTTATTCTTATTCAGGCGGAAACCTTTTGACTCCAATATCCTCCTCCATAACTCAAATTTATAGTTAATCTCTTCTTTTATTTCTGCAATAAAAACTATATTATTTGTGAGAGACATGCATTTGGGAATTTTCTCTTGGTACATTTGGGATGAACCTGCATTTTAAAAAGAAAAATGGCGAGTGCATTTTGAACATATACACTTGTACCGTATCAACCTTCAAAGTATCTTGTCCTGATTCCTGACCAAGGGTTTAATGGACGTCCATGTTGCTATATGTTATGCGCTGATAAATTTGTTTTCTTTCAGATTTTGTGCTTCAAGCATTATAATTATATTATAATTACTAGTAATTGCTGAATGCCTTGCCTTGTAGATTCTATCCCGGTGTCAGTGATGCACTGAAGTTTGCAAGCTCAAGAGTGTACATTGTCACCACAAAACAGGTCAGACCTTCTCCCTTTGGTCCTTGCAAGGGGAAAATAGTCCTTGCGATAGATGGCTTCAGATTCAGTATTAAGGAAAATAAAGGGAGTGGCATAATATAAATTCACTCGCAACAGTTTTTTCACATTGTCCCTGCACTTTTTCCTCTGTCATCTTGATTGGATTTCAGTGCCGTTTTGCTGATGCTTTACTTCGGGAGCTTGCTGGTGTGACCATACCGCCTGAAAGAATATATGGCCTAGGAACTGGGTGAGTAAGTGTGATATATGACATATTTTGACACGTTGACTTGCTGTGAACTGTGGTGCATTGATGCTTCTATTGTTTCTTTCTTTCCTCTCTTATTTCAATGAAAAAAGTTAGATTTTCATGGACGATTCAATTTTCTCTAATAGCCCAAAGGTGGAAGTGCTGAAGCAGCTTCAAAAGAAACCAGAGCACCAAGGGCTCAGACTACAGTAAGATATTCTATTTACAGCAATTGATATAAATTCTTGTCCCAACTAATCATATTACCAATAGAGTAGTGCTGTTGTTGAGATGATCTAGAAGAAATTAACTCGAGCTGTTTTTTATTCAGCTTTGTTGAAGATCGGCTTGCAACCTTGAAAAATGTTATCAAGGAGCCTGAGTTAGACGGATGGAATTTGTATCTAGGTAGCTTTCTTCTCTTTACAAGAAGTAATTTAAAGCAAACTTAGTCTGGATCCTCTTCCATAATGGCAGTGGATGTGATTTGGGTTGAAAGCAGACTTGGTTTACAAAAGATAATAATGTAAACATGATGATAGAGCTGGTGATTCCCAAAAGATTTTCCTGTCATTTCCTAAGGCTTACAGTAGACAATCTAGGCAGGGAGGTGATTTAGAGAAGACTAAGACCAGTGGTCAAGAGGTTTATTTGAAGGTTTATAACTGTAAGATTCAAGTGATAAAAGAAAAGTCAGGTTAGGTGTAGCCTAGGGTATGGGTAGTGTCAGCAGGGGTAATGACTACTTTTTGACTCTTTAAATATGTACTTCCGTGATGGGGGATGAGGGGGGACTATTGGAGAATTGTGGTCAAGTGAGGAGAGTTCTGACCTCTCGAATGCCAGATTAGGGGTGGAGAAGATCATCTTTTCTTCATCATTTTATCCTTCTACATCAGTTTGTATTTGTGAGAGACCAGTGTTTGTGTTGCTGCTCAAAGGGTATAGTTTATGTTGTTTCATGCTCTGTAATTGCCATCTCAGTGTAATTTCAGTCTTTATTTTGATTGTAATCCCACTCTATTGTTCAGCAATAGTAATTGTTAGTTACATTTACAGTGTATTTTCTGGTTTTGCTTATTTTTAAGCTTAATAGAGTAGAGGGTTCCACCACATGACAAAGTGGAATCTGACAAGAAAAATTTTTCATTGACATATTTATATCTATAACAATCCTGGTTGATATGATCACACGTATCTTTCGCATACGATGTCTCAAAGTTTTCCTCCATGAGTTACAATTTCTCCATCCTCCTTCCTTTCTGCTTTTGTGAATTGTTTTGGTTTCTTTAGGTAAAGAAAACTTGATAAGCTCACCCGTTTTTTATTTTTTGGGTCAGTGGATTGGGGGTACAACACTCAGAAGGAGAGAGAGGAAGCGGCAACCATTCCAAGGATTCGCCTTCTTGAGCTCTCTGACTTCAGTAAGAAGCTGAAATAGTAATACATTTCAGCGGTTTGATAATAATTGAATTAATTATTTGTTCCATGTCATTTAAATTGCAGCAATCAAGAGAATCTGATTTTCTTTATTCTTTCTGTTAAACTGTACTGTTATGTGCCCCTGCTAGTGGAAACGAGGATGTCTCAATTATTGGCAGAGTCGAACATAATTTTTATTCCTGAAAGAATGCATTAAAACGTGTTGTATTGGAAAGTAATTATGATTTCCCATTCATACGTCAAGTACAGCACCGATTCGGTTCTTTTTTGTCTTGCTTCCTTCAAACCCCCTTTCAATTGTTGAATGTAATCAGATGATGGAGTAAAGCTTTTTTTTTTTTTTCTTTTTGCATGTTTTTGTAAAGAATGAAGCTGTTATTCTGTCTCAAGCCTATGTTCAAAAAGTGGACCAGTTATTAAACAAAGAGAGAGAGGTTTCAAGGATTTGGGATGTTTCTACGGATTAACAGACGACCTGAGGAAGAAACGGGATCCTCAATGTTAATTCCCTTCGGCCTGTCCAATCCGATTCTTGAAACTCGCTCAAGTTGTCAGGATGTTAACCTTTGTATGAATGACTTGTTATATTTTGTGATTTTCATATTAATTTTCGACTTATGAGGAAAACTTTTCAAAATCATTTTTGGTGGATGCTTGGTGGAGATACTTCTTTGGAAGAATTACAGCGTTAAAGAAATTAATCACACACAAAGACCAACAACAAGTCTTATTAAAAAAAAAACAAGTTAGGATCCATATTTAACAACAATTCGTTTCGCATTGATCCTTGTTCATGATTAATTTTCTTAAAAGAAGGCTAGCTATAATTTTCTTATACTTTTTTGTGCAAAGAGTCAATATTCAAATCCTCAAATTGCTGCCAAAATCAATTTCAATTGTCAAGCAAAGTGTCCACTTAGTGAATTAACTTCACATTCAACTTAAAATCAAAATCGGTTCAACTACTGGCTCAGGGTCCAGTTTTAGTGAAAATTTGAGTTTTTATTTGAGTTTGATCTGTTTCAGATCCACCAATTCAATAATTGAACAATCTTTTCCAATTCTAACAACAATGAGAATTCTAAATCCACGAACACAAGGCTTTCCCATTATAGATATCTTTACCTTATGATGTGATGAACTAGATATTATCATCTAAGGCTAGTTTAAGTATTAAAAATAAGGCGGTGAAATGTGAGTAAAGATATAAAGCTCAAATCCTCCTAATGTCAGCCCAAAAAAAAAACTTGATAAACTATTGAAGTTGATAAGTCTACACAGTGATTGTTGCTTTGTTACAAGTCTAACATCCGGGAGTCTCATGGGTGATGTAGGGCTTATACGTGTGAAGAACTCTCCCACCAAATTAGTCTTTTTGGATGGACTCTCCCTCTAAACTTGTGCTCGTTACATTGGTGCTTTCATTGAAAGGTCGGTATCACAAAAAGCGCTGCTCACAGAGAGTTCTGACCGACAGAAGGTCGAGTGAAGTGTCATGGAGTGAAGCTGCAGGAGAATCAGCTCTTGAGGGGGTGGCATTATTACAAGTCTCACAACGGAAAGTTTAAGAAGCAATAATGTGACAAGCAAAAACCTAAAAGGAAAACCTATTCCAAAAGATTAATTTATTAGAAAAGAGAGTCTTTTGAAATTATAAACATTACATCACTTGTGAAGCTTTTGAATATGAAACTTGTGATATGCTTTTAGCAACGTGGAACTTCATCAACAAGGACTACTCTATACACCCACCGACACCCAATCTGAAAAGTAATGCATTCACTTCAAAAAGGTTGAATAGCGAGGGATTGTAAAATTGATGAACATGGTGGTTAATATTCAAGAAAAGAGACACGTCAATTTCTGTCATTTTCTCCAGAGAATTATCGCCATACCGCTTAACTACAAGTCCTCTTTTATTTGTGCATCACTTTCCCGAGAATCAGCGTCATCTGCTTTGTTTTCCTCACTTTTAAGCACCTCATCTAGAGGAGGATCTCCAGGCCTTCGAAAAACTTGATCCCCAATCTTCATCTCATATGCCTCTGGTTCGTCCAAGATAAATTCCTTCAACTGATAACATAATACGCTAATGAGATTATATGGACACAAAAAGCATCACTACAGCCCAAATCTCGAGATGCAGAAAATTTGTTTATCATCCATTTCCTCTAAACTTGAATTTGAGGGATACGGAGAGAAAAACCAAATCCTTCTGCTGCACAAAAAAACAGAATATACAATATCCATAACGTCTTTGATATAATTAGCCACTGTTTTTTTTTAATTATTTTTTTTAATAGGAAGCGAATTATCTTGTGCCATATCCTCATTGCCTCTACCTTCCTATAATTTAGTAAATGCCTAAACCAGACCTCTCTCGTTTTCTTCCACTTTCCTCTATCTAAACACACCTTCAAACCTGCTCATCACAAAAAGGATGAAACAAAAATACTAAACATTCATTGTTCAAAGTTTATCTGGATTTAGAAAAGGGTAGCAGTTTGCAGATTGTCACAACTGATCACTCAAATAATCGTTAGCAGCTTTTTTTCCCCTGTTGTCTACTGTATTTATATTTAAAATTAAAAGACAAGAAATCAAAAGGATATAACCAAGGGAGAAGAAATAACATACTTCTTCAAGGTCTTTGCCAGACTCCATGTTGAACATGACTGTGCTCAGATCAACACCCATGAACCTTGCGCCAACAGCTCCACTTCTCATCATTTCAGTCCATTTCTTTGCAATGTTGCCCACTGTTTCCTGAAATTAGGCATAAATTATATTTCTATTACAAAGTAGACAATAAGGTATGGAAAATGAGAAATTAGAAGTTAAAATTCTCTTGAATGTTGAGACAGTAAGCAAGCTACAATTTCACACCTTCCAACTAAATATCTACTATGGATGCAAGCCACTAAAAACTAGCGGAGACAAGGTTCCAGGTTCCAGCATGAAATCAAAACCATCGCGACCTTAAATTAATAAAAATTCCTCTCTATAATCCCAATATCCCAAGAACAAAGCATGATGGCAGATTCATATTCTTAAACCCTGAGGCCTGAGCTTGGTTTCTCACTGGACTATGAAACACTAATGCTGCAATAACTTCTACGTATGTCACTAGTATCACACATGAGATCACACTTAGAATTACCCTACAACACCAAATATTTTGTCAAGTTGCAGTCGCGGTATTGTTTAGTTTCCAACACATTATATGCCAGCCAGTACTCTTGCAGCTCGTTAGATCACACTTAGATTTAATTCAAGGTTGCTAAACAGGGGTGTCAAAGACCAGAAACTAAACCGCGGTCCAATTCCATGTTACAAAGCCGAAATCCAGTGACCATAATGAGCGAAATCGGCGTCGAATCCAAATTCTAGCTCCAGTCTAGTTATTAAACAAGAGGGATACAAGCGAATGTGTTTACCGGAGTCCGTTGAACCCCCAGCCGGAGCTTAACGAATCCGATAGCGGGACCCGAGTGTCGCTTGGCCATCTCAGCTTGGATCTGGGAGATGTCCATGTTGGAGAAACCATCGGGCGGCGGGAGATCGAACTCGGAAGAGGGTGTGGATTTCTTGCCCCATTGTCTCCAGATATCGTCCTCTTCGTCGTCGATGACGTCGTCCAAATCGTCAGGGATGTGGACTCGTCGCTTGGTGCCGTTGGCGAATCGGACAAATTGAGGACTGGGGGGAAGGAGGAGCAGAGAAAGAAGGAGAAGGGAGAGGAAAAGGAAGGGAGGAGAGCTCGTAGTGGGTTTCATAAAGAGGAATTGGATCCAAGAAGTGCAAAGCTGAGAGAGGACACAGCTTGCCAGGGAGATGAGAGAAATCTTCTATATACAGAGGGAGGTTCTTCGTTGGTAAAGAGCGTGCCATTTGCATTGCTGGCTAGCTAGTAGCATAGCACCAGTGATCATTATTTCTCATGGGATACTTTTTATTAAATTTTAGAAAAATTATTTTTTTAAATTCTTTAATTTTTAACTCATTTATAACTCAATCTCTCAATTATAACTCGTTACAACTCAATTCTTCAACTACAATTTACTATAACTCAATCCATCAACTTTTGATTCACTTGTAATTTGATTCTAATTTTTCAATTTTTTAAAAAAAATTTCTTATTAAATAAAAGGGATAAAAAAATGCTCATATTTTTATTCTCAAATACCCTCCTCTTGCTTTATAATGTAAGATTTAAATTAACATAAAAAAAATTAACAAAAGTTGATGAGCTGAATTATAAGTGAGTAAAAAATTGAGGGAATGAGTTATAAGCAAATTATAGTTGAGGGACTAAATCACAACGAGTCATAGTTGAGGAATTGAGTTACAAGTGAATTAAAAGTTGAAAGACTAAAAGATTAATTTTTCTTAAATTTTCTTATGGTGCATTTGGATTAATGAAAATTTGGATCAATTTTTTTATTTAAATACACAATAAAAGTTTAATTTCAAATTTATTTTGAACTACTATAATTTTTTGTAATTTTAATCATCTTTATAGCCTAATCATTTAAAATTTTAGTCATTACAAACATCTTACTCTCTTCACATTTTCACTATTAATATTTTTATGGTTCTTATATATTTTCTCATCTTTCATCAATAAAAAATATAAATAAATTCTATATTTTAACATTTTTATTTTTATTTCAAATATCAATTCATTTCTTCTCATCTAAAATTTTTTTAAACTACACAAGTAAAAAAAAATTAATGTATGAATTTCAAATATGAGATTTGAAATGTAAAATTTAAAATTTAAAATTAAAATTTATTAATGCAAACACTGTCTTAAATTGTTACAAGATTATTTAAGAGTGAAATTAAAATTCAATTTTTGAAGCCCAAAATACATGCAAACTTGTAATTTAATTACCTTGTAGAATAACTTATTTTCATCTGGGTTTGAATTGTAGTTGTCTATAATTTTTTAAAGAAAAAAGTAATTATTTAATTCTTAAAGTTTTAACTCAATTATTACCTAGTCTTTAAAATGTGACTCAATGTAAATCATTCCTTCAAATTTAATGGAATTGCCCTAATGAATTACAAGGGAAATTAAATGGTCAATTTGTGTCTGAATAGTGTTATCTTGTGCATAATTGTTCTATTGAATGTTTGTCGGTCTATTGAACTTAGTTCAAATCTCACTAAAGACTAATGACATGCAATTTGGGTTTAAAGCACTTAGAGGCATGTTAAACTTGAAAATGTAGTCTTTTGAAATCTAAGTATCTAACTTTTAAACGAGTTATATTTTTTGTGTGAAACATATATTATTAGCTAGATTATTGAGTAAACTTGTATGGATATTTAAATCACTTTGATCAAAGGTTAAACAGAGCAACCGCGTGTACCAAAAAATTTGTCTTTGAATGTTGTCATGAAATGCTATGAGCGCTATAATAAAAAATATCATGTCCCGCGGTGCATTGTATCATAACAGCTGGTTGCAACTAATGGTGACCTGGTCACAACTTACTCCTTCTATGTCATTGGTTACAACAGATGTGTTAGTGAGGGAAAAAATTATTGTTTTGCCCTTGCTTTGAATTATTCTTTTCACTGTAATCCTTATGCTTCCATGAGGTATTTAACTTTGATTTTAATCACGTATCCAATTTTTTTAAAAGGATTTTTGATGGAATCCTAATTTTCAATGATTTAAAATCATTTTATCAAATCCTTGTTTTTATTGTGATGAGTCGTTGGGATAAGTGAGTTCCTAATAATGATTAAAAAATTATATATATGATATATTCTAGTAATGTCAATGAAACATTATATGAATTGTTAGTTATAACTTGAAGCTATTAATTATGTAGATAATTATTATTTTTTCACCAACTAAAAAGTCGATTAATCAAAACTATTCCTCGATGGTTTTGGCTGAACAGTAACTTCGATGATGTGTTCACACTTTTTGGAGCACCATGCATCCCAACTTCACTTGGATCCCGTGGAAAAAATATTGACCCGACACATTCTCAATCACGTGGGATCCATGTGACTCCGACAAGGATAACATGTTAGCAAACTCCAACTCAATTGGCTCACATCATTGCCACATAGGATAAGTTATAAAGGATAAAATGAGTTATCGAAGATATAGGAAGTAAGTTATAATTTGGTTAAATTTTAGGGATTGGACCATATTGAATTAAACTTCACTGAGTCATAATCAATTTAAAACTTGATGGACTAGCTTATCAATTTTTCTTTTCTGAATTTATGTAGTTTGCATGTTTTGAATGAGAGATGAAAGCGAAATTCAAACTAATGGATCTGCCTTTTTCGGATAATGGCTTAAAACTTCATTATTTTATTTGTGTTTTAAATATTTTCATTTCAAGCCTTTTAACTTCAATAATTTCATCTCAGAAGTGAAAAATGATTAGAGCATTAATTTAAGCTGGTTGGATTTGATTTGCACAGGGCTTATTTTAACTAACCCAAACTTATTAAAAAAAAATACCGATATGACTAAGTACTCTACCAATACCTTCAGGCTTTGGGTTTATCTAGGTAGACCTGAATACCATAATTCCAAAAAAAAAAATCATTTAAAAAGGAATCAAATTTTTACACTAAAACTAATTATTTTTATTATTGTCAAAAAATATATAATATATTTTTTATGATATATAAAAATGTAGAAGACTTAATTTTTCTGTAAAAAAATTATGTGTCTTAAAGTTTAAAAATTAAGATTAAAATATATTTTAAATATTATTTTAAGATACATAATAAATTAAAAATAATAAAAAATTATAGCAATATCACTATTTTTAATTTTTTAAATAATATATATAATAATGTAGTCAAACATATGGTCATTCAATATAAAATAAAATAAATTTTAAAATATTAATTATTATTTAATATGTTTTATAATTTTCTAAAAAATGAAAAAAATGTTATTTGGATATTTGAGCCAAGTTTAAAACCAACTAAGTTTTGCTCAAATTTTTTTAAGTTTATTTAAGCCAATCCAAATAAGCTCAAACATTAAAAAAATATTATTTTTCAAAACCTTATTCTAATTTTTTTTTTTGGACTTATATGGCAAGGCTCATCAAGTTCGGCTTGAATTATCCAATATAAAAATCCAGTTCAAAATGAGCTATAAATTCCACCCATAGACAACAAGCCTAGTTTAGCTTTCAGTTGTTTCTTTTTTTTTATTTATATTGTTTTTTATATGGCTTGGCTCATTAAGTTTGGCTTGAATTATTCAGTATAGAAATCCAGTTGAAAATGAAAAAGAAATTCCACCTGTAGACAGCAAGCACAACAAGCCTAGTTTAGCTATCGTTGTTTCTTTTCTTCTATTTAAATCGAAACTTCATTTATTTATGATATTGGTGAAACTTACTTCTCATATTTAAAAAAAAAAATTCACCTATTTATATTTTAACTGATTTATTTCAGTTTTCCAACTTCAGCTACACGGGCCCTGTTAGTTACCCCCTGGAGTTCAAACTTTTGAAATTGAACACGACATTTAAATTCATCTAGCTTCAAAATAAGCATAAAATAATACAGATTTTTAAAAATTCTTTTCATTAAATAACTGTAAAGAGAGAGAAAATATAACGAGGAAATAAGAATGATAATGAAAAAGTAATGAAGTTTTATTTTTATCAAATTGTTTTAAATAGCATTTAGATTGATGGATTTAAAAATTGAAATCTTACATTTTAAATCTCACATTTGAAATTGTTATATTTAATTTTTTTGTTTAAATAATTCAAAAAATTTAAATAAAAAAAATAAATTAAAATATTCATAAATTTAGGTAGTATTTTTAGGGTCTGTTTGGTTCGAAAAGAAGGAAGAGGAGGAGAGGGGAGGTGAGGGGAGAGGAGGGAAGGGAAGGAGAGGGGGAGGAGGGGGAAGGGAGGGAAGGGGAACTCCCCCCCAATTTGGAGGGGAGGCTTTGGAAGGGAGGGGAGGGAAAATTTTTAAAATTTTCCCTCCCCTCCTCCTAACTAAATGAGGGAAGGGGAGGGGAGGGGCTTCCCTCCTCCTAACCAAATGAGGGGAGGGAAAAGGAGCCCCTCCCCTCCCCTCCCCTTCCCCTCAACCAAACGGGGCCTTAGACACAGAATCACCTTCAAAATTATATTCTAAATTGAGATGGAGACTTACAACCTTGTGTTAGTTTGATTTTAAACCAAACTGTGCCTTTAATTCTGATTTTAAAGTTTTGTTCTGGTGGGGTGGGGTGGGGTGGGGAGTTCAGAACTCAAAATCACTTGATTTTTTTTTTAAAACCCACGACTGCTTTGTAAAATCAACGTAAAATATAAAGTATATATTACCAGAAGCTGTGATTAATTCGTGAATAATATTATTTATTTTTTTAAATTTCATGGAATACGGAGGACCAACATCTACTTTGTACAATTTGTTGGAATAATAATGATCATAATCTGAATGTAGAAAGAAAAAAAACGCAAGGGATGATACAGTTAGAGGGGGCTGGTTTGGACTTCAGAGGCTATGTTCGATGCATCGAAAATGGAATGAAGAGAGGGCGTCTAGGAAATTAGGAATAACTGAATAGGAGAGCTTTCTTAATTTGACCGTTGCTCTTTCCAAATGGCGACACATTCACTGAATCACACGTTATGTGTCGTGTAAAAGTTTATTTACTCACACTTCACATCACGCTCGCTGTTTCCATTTTCACCGTTTGGCGAATAAACGTATCACTAACATAACTCTACACAAGTTCCATTTACATCTACAAATTAAATATAATTATAATTATAAATCATGCATGTTTGGTGAGAAACCTTTGCACACGTTTTCTCTTTTCTTCTCCATGAGATATATCGATGTCTTTCGAGTATATCACGATCAATTCATTGACGCAGCCAAATACGTTTTAATTCAGACTGAATTATAAAATACACTAAAATAGAGTCATATAAGAAAATATATTGAAAACATAAACTTTTATATATTTTTCATTATCTTTTCTTGAAACTAATATACTATCATATATATATATATTTTAATTTTTTTAACATTATATGTCATTATACATAATTAATCATCTATTTTTTTTTTTTACTCTTGAGGCAAGGATCTCCCTTAATAAGTCAATTGTACATTTGAGAAAAAAGCCTAAGTAGTCAATAATGATGGTTACTTGATCATATGACAAACTTACTCTACGTTTAATTTCACTTTTGTAAATCGATAATAGATGAAAAAGAGTGATGCACCCCCGTGGCTTTACTGACTTCTGGCCGCAAGAAAAGTTGCTTTTGCACCCTTGGATGAATTTGCAAGGTGTCCACTATTTGATTTCGACATATCATTAATCTTATCCAATTAATTAATTGGCTGACGAAATCCGGAATTGATGTTATTTTGTACTGTAATTTTAAGAAGTATTTTCTTTTTCATTTTTATCCTTACATAAATGATGCTTCTTTAATTGAATCCATTCGCATTATAGATGATAGTTGGTGGTCAGCCAAGGACGAAAGGAAAAAATATGTTAATTTTTTATGAGTTTTTGAAAAAGGAAACTAAATTTTCTTATTATATTATGAAGAATTTATTTACTTAACGTGAGACCATGTGGCATCAAATGCGGTGTCAGAAATACCTTGAATCTTGAAACGATTGCATATTTTAGAAGTTCCAAACTTGAGACCCAAATATCTCTCCTTCATTTTAAATGTATTATATTCAGCACGAGGGAGAGTAATTCGCTATTCTGTGGCGGTTAGCCGCCGAAAGGCCGGCGGCTTTTAACGTCGGGCCAAAAACACACAAAAGGCGTCAGCGACAAGATACAAGTCCAGGCCACCAAAAACACATTCAACGTGAAATCGAATCCATCACTGGATGGACCTTGAGATTCGTTTCACGAGAGCCTTATAAATCAACGAGCCTCCTCATAATCGAGCCATCTCCATCTCCTTCCTTTGTTATATAATTTTAAGTTTTGCCCCGCTGCAACAGAAAGCAGCACTAATCACTAATCACACTGAAGCTAAGCTCCTCCTCCATTCATGGCTGCTCTAAGGACCTTCCTCAAGAAAAGGCCTTCCCTTTCTGCTCACACTGACCACTCTTCGTTCACTAGACTGTTCTCCACCGAGCCCATCATTGATTCTCCTTCTCTTGCCCGGAGGATCAGAGATCTGCCCAAGGATCTTCCTGCCACCAACATCAAGAAGCATGTTTCCCAAGTAATGTTCTTTCTTCTATCTCCCTCTTTTTCTATACTTCCATGCAAATTTTCATCCTCTTGAAACCTCCCAGTCTTCAAATTTCCCATTACATTCACAGTATTTTGAGCTGGTTTGCATGTATTAGCTATTAATTGGCTGAACCCAACCACGGGAGGTTTTTCTCTTCTTTTCTTTGGTCAAACAATTACGAGAGTTTTTGTTGAGCGAATGGACATAGTAGCGCCTCCGTACTCGCTTCTCTTCTAGAGCGCTGATTTTGGCTATCAAGAGCTCTCGTAGCGAATGATTATTTAATTTATTACGAATGAATTATTCGATTTCTTTCTTATCAGCAAAACTTCAAGAGAGAAATCTTTTGGCAGAGCTATATATTGATTTTACCATTGTGTGCTGGAGGATTTTTTACAATTGATCATCAAGATCTGAAATAAAATATTTCTTATTTCAGCTGATTGGAAGAACACCGCTTGTTTATCTCAACAAAGTCACTGAAGGATGTGGAGCTTATATTGCTGTAAAGCAAGAGATGATGCAGCCCACTGCTAGCATCAAAGACAGGTCTATCCAAATTCTGTTGTTGTCCTATTTGAATTTCTTTTATGCATAAAGACAGGTCTATCCAAATTCTGTTGTTGTCCTATTTGAATTTCTTTTATGCATTTATTGGCCTTAATATCTGAAACTAACTTCATGGAGGTTTTATCTCTTTATTTTCCAGACCTGCTATGGCTATGATCAATGATGCAGAGAAAAAGAACCTGATATCTCCTGGGAAGGTTAGTTGACTCAATTCCAAAACCATATCAAGTGCCTGTCCAACAAGGAAGCAAAACCATGCTTCAGCAGAAGCAAGGAATTGGTGCTTTTGATGTGGATCAGTCGAACAACAAATTGCTTCATTGTTAAAGAGTTTACCTAAAAGTTAACATTTTGCACAGCAGCCAAACAAGCTCATGTTCTGTTTTACGTGCATGTTCATGGATAGCTATGCTGAAAGTTGCTATAAATTTTTGCTGTAGACTACTCTGATAGAGCCAACATCAGGCAATATGGGGATAAGTATGGCATTTATGGCAGCCATGAAAGGCTATAAGATGGTACTTACCATGCCTTCTTACACAAGCTTGGAAAGAAGGGTGACCATGAGAGCATTTGGAGCTGACTTGATCCTCACTGATCCAACCAAGGGAATGGGAGGAACGGTTAAGAAGGCTTATGAACTTCTTGAATCAACACCTAATGCTTTCATGCTTCAACAATTCTCAAACCCAGCTAATACTCAGGTATATGAATGATCCCGCTTGGAGATTTTTACGGAGAATTTGAGAATCATGTGAGCATGGGGAAAAAAAAATCTAATATTGTGGTGTTGAGCTCAAAAAAAGAATCCTCTTGTCATCTGCTGGTACAAAAATTAAGGGACAAGTATTGCTAGGTCAATTGTCCAAGTAAGTTTATTCAAAATGAATTGCAGGTGCATTTTGAAACAACTGGTCCAGAGATTTGGGAGGACACAAATGGACAAGTAGACATATTTGTGATGGGAATAGGTAGTGGAGGAACAGTTTCTGGAGTTGGACAATATCTTAAATCTAAAAATCCCAATGTCAAGGTAATGTTTAGTGATGATCGCTGTTAAATCATGTCATAAACTATTTGTTCTTAGACTTACTGATTGTAAATGAAATTTTTCTAATTACATTAGATATATGGAGTGGAGCCTGCTGAGAGTAATGTTCTGAATGGTGGTAAACCTGGTAAAGTTCATGCTTTTGCTGTCTTTTCTTCCCCAGAAAAATAAGTTGTAGAGAAGAATGTAATTATTCCTCTCATTAAAATTTATTTTTCATTACTCTGAACTTTATCAAGAACATGATAAAGGAGAGGAATTCCTACATCTTTCCTACAACCAAGCCATTAGGAATAAAAATGTAAACATGTCTGCGGACTTACAAGTGAGACCGAATTTTGACATCTATTTACAAGAAGTTAAAACTCTGATATTGTCAAATGAAATAGGTCCTCATGATATTACTGGAAATGGGGTTGGATTCAAACCAGACATATTGGACATGGATGTGATGGAGAAAGTTCTTGAAGTAAGTGCTATGAATTTTACTTCATCCCGGGCCCAGAGTTAGCCTGGTAATCTCTCTCCCTCCTCGTCTAAAACATGATTTGTGACTTTTATGTTGCAGGTTAGCAGTGATGATGCAGTTAACATGGCCAGAGAGCTGGCCTTGAAGGAAGGACTCATGGTAATCCACTCCTCTAGCCACAGTTATTTCATTTAGAAGCTTGAAACCTATGAAGTACAAACACTTGGAAAAATAAAAAGTATCTCAATCCAACACATATTGCACACTGGCACTAGACACAGCGCAGCACGACACAATGTAATGTCCCTTTCTGTGCTGTGTCAGTGTTCATATTTCTTGCCTTCCGATTCAGAATGTCTGAAGCTGTATTCGTATTTTTCTTTTCGGTTTGGTTTTCCCAGGTAGGGATATCATCTGGAGCTAATACAGTTGCAGCACTGAGATTGGCAAGGTTGCCAGAGAACAAGGGCAAACTGATAGTGGTAAGAACTGCACTCACAAGTTTAAATACAAGTTGACACAGTTTTTAACTATATCTAGACGATTTTTGGAGATGAATCGTGATTTAACACCAATTATTAGAACCATGCAATTATATGCACATTTACTGTTAATGTTTTCTTCCTTTCTTTCTTTTGTTGTTACTGATTCTCGTGATCATCAATGGTGGCTTGAATCTCAGACGGTTCATCCGAGTTTTGGGGAACGGTATCTGTCATCCGTCCTGTTCCAAGAACTTCGGAGAGAGGCCGAAAATATGCAGCCTGTGGCAGTGGATTAATTCATAAGAAGCACGTGTTGATACAGCCAGAAAGACTTGCTGTGGAAGTTTCATGTATCAGCATGCCTCTGTTACAATCCTCTTGGAGCAGTTGTCAACTGTGAAATTTGAGTTCATAATGCAAGCTAATTACGATTTTCCTGCCTCTTCCTTTTCCTTTTCCCCTGCAAATGTTGTAGTTTGAAGCAGCTTTTGTTTGGCCTGATGATTCAAGCAATTCAATCCACGTCTCTAAGAATGTGTGTCGTGTAAATGTCAATTTCAAGTTTGTCATAGGAAAAAAAAAAAAAAAAAGATGAAATACAGTCATATTGTTAGCCCTTTAAGGCTTGAAATCCAAACCCCAAATGTTGAGCCTTGAACCCTAAGCCCAACTCATCAACCCTCAATGTAATGTTTAGTACGAAATAAAGTGTCTCATATATTTCAGGGACTAATTTGTCAAAAATAATTTGTTTTGTCCAAGGCTAATCTTTAAACATACGATCAATTATTGTTGTCGATATATTAGCATCATCCTTTTTAGTTATCTAATGAACAGATTATAGGTGCAGTCATGCAAAAAAATTAATTTATTATATTAATTAATTTTCATGAGTACAAATTAACACCTAACATGGTAATATATATATATATATATATATATATATGTATGTATGTATGTATGTATGTATATGTCTATGAAGAGTAGCTCTTAGTGCATTTATTGCATTAAATATGTCTATCATGTTTGATTCACTAGAATATTCCCGTAAACACCTATTCAAAAATTTGCTGACATTGGACGCAGCTTTAAAATTCTAATATCAGTTAACAATTCAATCATGATTATGGTCAGATTAGGCTAGATATATACAATCATGTATAGAAAATTTAAAATTTCAATTATACATTAATTTTCTTTAGGAAGGAAAAAATTTATTTGAGATATTTTATTTTGATAATTTTGGTTGCTTCTTTGGTGTAAGCTAGATTGTAGTTCATCTCTGAAGGCGCTTGGTATGATTGATTAAGAGAGTTAAATTAATCCATTTTAAATTTTAAGTTCAAGTTTTATGATATATAATAATGTTAAATAAATATGTTAAAAGTATTTCTGAAATATTTGTGAGACCTCAGTTGATATAATAATAGATTAATAATAGTCTCACATAACAAATGTTTATACTAGTTTAGATGGGAGGTGGTAATACCTCATGATTTCTAAGATAATAGCTGGTGGAATAATTTTCAAAAAAAAAAAAAATCTCATCTCTATGAGAATACAGTGATTTAATAATCTCTCCAGTTCAAACTATAAGTATTTTTAACAAAAATTTGTATGCTAATAAATTCTTGTTCTCATATATATATATATATATATATATATATATATTTTACCCTTGGTTCTAATTTATGATAAGTAAGATGAAAGTCATAAATTTATTGACATGAGAATCTTGATTAATAAATATAATAGATAAAATAAAAAATTTACAAATGGTGAGTTACTTATATTTTGGACTGAAATTAGTAAAAAAAAATATTTATATTTTAAAATGGAAGGAGTAAATTTTCATTTTGCACGTAAAATAGGAAAAAGGTTATCTTATTTCATTTGTTCTAATGACATGGATTAATGTCTCATGGTACTTGCTGATCAAAACTAAAAAAGAAAAACAAAAAACAAAATAAAAGGAAAGAAAAAAGATGTCTCATGGTACTCATTGATGTCGTAAGAATCAACAGTATCGAATTAATTAGGTCTCGACACCAGTAAGGTTTTGTGCAGTCAAACTGTTGATGACATCCCCAAGGGGGTGGCATTAATCACACCATATCAAATCAGACAAGACACTCATGACTCTAATATTAATCATATTATCAACTTATTATAGGATCAACACAGGCAGAGTCATCTGTAACAAACAAGCTAGTTTCTTGGCTGCTTGACTGCTTCTCTAAGAACCATCATAAATGTGGTTCCAAACGTGTACCTAAACTTCATCATGAGTTCCTTATTTGCAAATACTGTTTGATTAATTGATATATACTCGTTTCGTTCTCAAATATAAAATGTAATTGAGGGATTTATTTTGGTTTTAATTTCTAAATGTAGGATCTCAATTTTCTCGTCTATTGTTTTTTCCCCTGAATTTTCCTAATTAATTCCATAATTTTTTCATTTTCCTTTTTTGGGTACCATTTTTTGCATTTTCTCTGTCTCTCTTATTTAGCACCCTCATTAAAAGAAATGTATTTTAGGGAAAATGACTCATTTTTTACTCAATAGTGACAAATAACTAACAAAATAAATTTTCTTAACCTCCATAAATTAATTAACTAGGTCTTGTATTCAACACTAGATGGAGTTCAAAGAAATGTTTTGATTCTAAATACTTTCCCTATCATAAATTATAAGACATTTTTATAGAAAATTCAGTGTTTCAACTTTGATAAAAATAAAATTTTATTAATAATTTTTTATATTATCATTTTTATTATATTTTCTCTCTTTAATATTCTTTCATAACCTTAATCCTCTTTATCTCCTTCATTTAATATTTTTCTCTTATATTACCCTCATCAATTGCAGAGTTTTTCTCATTCTCCGTCTTTGACGCATGATATTCGCATGTGTGTCTTAGGACAAGTAATTATCAATTTAACCAATTTTGTTAATGCATGTGAATTAGTTAACTAAGTATTATTCATTTCGTTGAGAATTACGAGATGTTTTTTTTTTTTTAGAGATATCACGTGTTAAAAATATAGGGCACTTCGGTATTTTCTAGGAGTAACTAGATTTTATGCCTCGTGCAATATATGAAATATTAATCCTCATTTTTTGTTTAAGGTGAATAAAAAAGGGGAAGAGAATATTTTAATGAGTTCAAATTTTTTTAAAAATGGACAGGTATGTTATAAAATTTTATTTTACAGGTGTAAAAGAAAATAAATAAGAAAATCAATTAGATACTTTCTAGCCACAATTCTCTATTTTTCTAAAATTGAAGTCGCGAAAATTTAAAATCCCACCGCCCAACCATTTTCTTTAATCCAGACAAAGTATAAAATTTCATAGAAGTGAAATTATTAGTAAATATTAATTTAATAATTTTATAAAAGTAATAATTTATATGAAAAGTGTGAAATAAAATTGTATATGTGTTATAGATAAATAACTATAATAATGAAAAATAACTGTATATTTTTATTCCCCCGTCAAACTTGTGATTGTAAAATAAAAATAAACAATGATTTCTTTTATCATAAATTTTATTATCTCATATATAATCGATTATAAATAACAATTTATTTTAATCTATAAATTGTTATATCCATGTAAATTAAAATTCTAAAATATATATCTTGCTTTAGAATTTTTTTTATTTAAAATTGTATCAACATCTTATTTTGTTTAAGTATTGGCTACCTATGCATAATAAGCATGTAGACAACAATAGGAGGATACAAATTAATTTCATTGAAAGAGATGCCTATATTTAATACTCGTACTTTAAATATAATTATTTTTAATAGAAAGATGCTTATGAGCAATACAAAAATAGATAATAATTTATTTTATTTTTATATAAATTATTTTAATATATGATATCATGTGCATAAAAAAATATAAACATATTTTCATATGTGATCCTGACATAAATTAAAATTTAAAAATATATTCTTGTTAAAAAGTTATTACTTGTAAATATAAATAACCACTTATTTTATTGTGAATCTGAATTAAAAATAAGCAAATTAAAAATACATCTTATGCATAAAAATAAGCAATTTATTTTATTCTATAATTTATTACCTTATGCATGCAGACCTAAATTTCAGTGGATGTAGACTTAAATTTTCATAATTTTTGAAAATTAAATTTATAATTTTATTATAAATTTTTTATTTACATTTTTATTACATGCTCGACATTCACCACTTACCACCACATTTACAATTAAAAGCTAGATAGATTAAAATAATTTTAAACCCATAATTGATTATAGTTTTTTGTAATATTTAATGTTGGCAACTTCAATATTTTAAAATAAAAGTTTAGGTTCATTGTAAAAATAACTGGATCATTGCATAACTATAATAATTTTTCTCAAATTTGGATTCATTAAATGACCTAAATCTACTCATTTAATGATTATATGAATTATATATATTGAATTATATTATTGCTTGAAAATTATTTAGATAAATTTTTTAATAAATTTTTAAAAAACTCTCATGGTCGGAACACTTCTCACATTCATTGTTTTCTTTAAAATATTTTACAACATTTCAATTATATTGAATAATTGTTATCATGCTACATGTGATACTTGTTAAGTGATATGGTTTGTTCTATTTATTAAATTCAAAGTTGATGTATCTCACAAAATCATTATGGTTCTATTACAATCTATTGATAAATTTTACCATATATCTTCTCCATTTTTAAATATAAGCAAATCTTTCACATGGATTGTTATTATTTTTCATTAGCAAGACAACAATTTTCAAAAAGTATTTGTGATGTCTTTCCTTAATTACTATCCATTAAACGATAGCATCATTGAGTCAGGGAGAAAATAAAATGTTAGTCGCAATTACATTTTAATCCAACCTTTTAAATTTCAAACATTATTATGAGGATTAATAAATTATTATGAGGATTAATAAAAGCAAACGGAAATAAATTGATTGATTTAAAATTTAAAATTTATTATTTAAATTTGTATGCTATATACAATTAATTATCTTATACATATATAAAATTGAAGCAATAAATGATAAGTCCCCCACATTTACCAAAAAAAAAAATCTAAATCTCATGCATATTATTTTTATCATGAGTTTTATATCCACAAATAATTTTTACTACAAGTTTCACACCTATTTTTTAATTTTTATTGTGAGTCTCACATATACTCAACATGTAAGAATTAATTTTTTTTTTAAAAAGATAAAGTGATGGTGCAGTTTAGCTAACTATAGATTAACAGTACTATGATCATGCACTTTACATATATATATAAATAGATTAATGATTTTTTTTGTTGCGAGCATGAGAATAAACTCGCACGCAATAGAAATTATTTTCTAAGTCGTTACATACTTATTTTATTAAAAAATATAAGGTATTTTTTAAAAAATTAAATATTAAAAAATGTAAGATATTTTTTATCTTTTGAAGTATAATTATTGTTTTTTTTTCTTTTCAAGAGTATCCTTATTGATAATAACTTTATATATATTATAGAGTATTTAATAGGGATGAATATGAAAAGATAGGGTTAATTTAAAAGTAGGTAACTATTTTATTGAGAGTGAGATTCAATTAAAAATGTCTTATATTTTTAAACGGATAAAGTATATAACATTCAACATTCAAACTTTCAACTATTTATTTAATCAATGAGTTCTTACTATTTATACCATCTTTAATTAGTTAATTAGATTTTTACCATTAATGTCCTTAATGAATATGTAAAATTAATTAGTTTTTCAAATTTATTTGTGACCTTATTAAATTAAAGATAGACATAGAAGGTGAAAATGATTTTTAATAATGTTAACCATCTTATTGAAAATAAAAGTTAATAAAAAATATCTTATAAGTACACATATCACTTGTTCACATGACTAAAGGCACTTGTTTATTTGGCCAAAAAAAAAGCACTTAAGTAACTTTTGGACCAAAAAATATTTTAAAAACAAGTGAAAACATATATCAGAATTCCAGTGATAACGCAATCTTTTTTTGTTTTTTTGTTTTTTATTGGGAAGAGATCATGAGTTTATATTCAACTTAGTAAGGTCTCGTTTGGTTCACTTAAAAATGGAACTGAAAAATGAGTTGGAAATGAAATTAGAAATTGAATTGAAGAATGTTAAGAAAAGCATCTTTAGTAGGTTAGAAAAATTTAATGGAATTTTAAAATAATTTTTATTTAATAAATTATTAAAAATCAAAAAAGACAATATTACCACACGACTAAAAGGCACGCGTCAAGCTTTCACACGCGTTAGAGTCTTCGAGTCCTGTCCATCTTAATTCTTACAGTGAATTAAATTGATAATGGATGGATGTACGACTGATAAATTTGTAAAACTTTCACTCCAGCGAAACATGCTTTGTTTCGGCATAAAGGCATAGACCCTCACCCTAGCCTTCCTTGTCAACTTGAGCAAACAAACACCCTTTTTTACTTTATAAACAAAACATAAAAAAGCTAAAAAAAAAAAAAATCGTAGGGTTTGACTGGAAATTGCAAAGTCTCGGCCGTTCCACATGGTGGAATCACCGATTCCATCAAGTTCGCTTCTCTCGGGCCTAAGCTCTCGAAGATCTATCGTTCGATGTCCCAAAAGTTGCGGCTTTTACGGAGAGAAATTTGGCAGCAACGGCAGCTAGAGAGGACACTGTAGATAGAGAAAAAAAAAATGGTGTCGATGGATTTTGAACGTTGGGATCAGAGAGAAACAATGCTGGTCTCTTGAATATCTTAGAGTGACTTCGGAATTTTCTTTCTGGGTTGAATTTATTGTAAATCTTGCCCACGTTGATTTGAGTTGGCCGCTTGGGACTTGTCCTCTTCAATTCTGGGCTAATTGCATGCAATCTACTGGTCCCGGCAGTGGTGGACCCGGCCGGAACCCGGGAGTGGGGCCGGCAGGGCGCGCCGCATCATCAGCTGCTTCCCCATCCTCTTCATCTTCAGCAGTGTCGACGTCGCACTTGGGGTTAGACACTTTACAGCAGCAGCAACACCAGCAGATTGGTTCTAGGCAGGTGTGTATTTCTGGGTTGAGCTGAATTTCTATTATAATTTACACTCTGAGAAGTTTTTGCAAGTTATTTCTCAGTTGCACTATTAATGTGGTTTGATTGTTTCTCACACCCATTGGTTTCTGAATTTGGGAATGTGCTATTGGTTCTGGGAATGGGTTCGTGCTGAAATTTGCATTAAATAATCATCGGTCTGGGGGTTTAGTTGCAATGGAAAGTATGTTTTTTGTTTCTTTTTGGGCCAGATACAGTAGGAAGTGTCGTTATTTGGTCAGGTTTGTGAATTCTTTAAACCAACTAATTTTCTGATAATCAGGGAGTCAAACTAGAGATGTCTAAAATGAGTTAAATTTGGAAACTGATGGGAGCACTGAACCTGGAGCCGCTGGGTTGGAACAGAGTGCTAACATTGTTAATTTTGGTCAACACGCCTTAAATCACAATATTATGAATTGTGCTGTAGGCTATGAATATTTTTCTTCTCTGTCTTGCATTTATTTTCTGATCATATGCGATGTTAAATTATTAGCAAATTAATATATTCCGCACATGCCATTTCTTTTCTGCAATCTTCTTGGGTGTTTCCTTTCAAACACTGATGGGTTTATACATTTTGGGTAGTGAAACTTGTAATTTATTGCCTTTTTCTATAGACTCTTCCTCTCTCTCCAGGAACTATTTATTGGACTTTGAACATGTTGATTAGCTGTGCAGTATAGCCAGACAAGCACCAGTTGCAACTTGCTAAAAGTGTATTTCGTCATTTTCTGCATGTTGCTAATTTTAGCTTTAACTGTCCTTCTGTAAAATCATTTGTTTCCTCTAAACTGCCGCATTCCTATCTTTTGTAATCTCAGATGGCAAAACAATCATTATATTGAAGTATATGACCAATTCTGTGCAAGTGTTGTTCAATGGTTCTTAAAATCTGTAATTTTCAGTGTCTTATTTCTACTTTCATGGTTATGTTACTTTAGTCAAGGAACCTTCCTTCCCTTGTCCCCTTCCCTTCCTTTTTTATAGATTAGCGGTAGCATTTTATACACCTTGGCTGATTTTTCTTTTCTATCATTTTATTAATTTTTCCGAGGTCTTGATTCAATTATAGGGTCGTAGGTGCTTGGCTTTCCTGTACTGTGACACAAATTTATATAATTGCTGGGTCTTGATGGCAATGATATTTTTATTATTATCTTATTACAAATATTGATGTTATTTTGGGTGATAGTATCTGTTTTGCTTTTTGTCAAACTTATCTACTAATCATTGATGTTATGGAATAATGACTTCTATTCAAACTGTATGCTCATGCAGTCATTGCAACAACAACTACTTAGAAAACCTGAAGGGAATGAAACATTTTTATCATATCAAGCAGGGCTTCAAGGGGTATATGGTGCTAACAATTTCTCATCTCCCAGTCCTGTACAACTGCCCCAGCAATCACGGAAATCAATTGATTTTGCTCAGCATGGTTCCAGTCAGGAGCCCCAGATCAGGGGTCAAGGCATTGAGCAACAAATGCCTAATCCTATCCATCAAGCATACCTTCAATATGCTCTGCAAGCTGCCCAACAAAAGTCTGCTTTGGCTATGGAATCACAACAGCAAACTAAAATGGGAATGTTAGGCCCTTCAAACATAAAGGATCAAGAAATGCGTATGGGAAACTTGAAAATGCAGGAACTAATTTCCTTGCAGGCAGTTAATCAAACACAATGTTTGACTCCTAGGAATTCATCTGAACAATTCTCTCGTGGGGAAAAGCAGATTGAACAAGGACAGCATCAAGCAACAGATCACAAGATTGAGGGAAAGTCTTCGACCCAGGGACAGGCCATTGGGCACATAATGCCTGGAAATATGACAAGACCCATGCAAGCACCAACAACTCCTCAAGGCATCCAAAATGTTGTGAACAACCAGATGGTGGTATCTGCTCAAATGCATGCTATGCAGGCTTGGGCACATGAACGCAACATTGATCTATCACATCCTGCAAATGCTTACTTAATGGCACGACTCATTCCTATGATGCAGTCAAAGATGGTTTCACAACAAAAGCCAAGTGAGAACAATGTTGCTCCTCAGTCATCACCTGCCCCTGTTTCTAAACAGCAAGTTACTTCTCCAATGGAGAACCCAGCACATGCTAATTCATCAAGTGAATTGTCTGGGCAGTCTGGATGTGCAAAAGTGAGGCAGGTAGTTCCCCCCAGCCACTTCGTTCCACCAACCAATGCTGATACAGCTGGTAGTAGCAGTGATGTTGTGCAACAAATTAACATTCATGGCAGAGAGTCTCAAGCATCTCTGAGGCAACCTGTTACTGTTGGGAATGGATTGCCTCCCATGCATCCCCAACAATTTTCTGCTAACATGAATCTTGGTGCAGACCATTCTTTGAATGCCAAAAAATTACTACCAGGCCCTGATTCACCACAAGTTCAGCACATGAGGCAGTTAAACAAATCCTCTGCTCAGGCTACGGATTCCACAAATGGAGGGACTTCAGGAAATCATGTCAAACTCGTTGGGGCACCAACCCAGATACCTCAGCAACGACCTGGATTTACCAAACAGCAATTGCATGTACTTAAAGCACAGATATTAGCATTTAGGAGGCTGAAGGTTAAAATCATGCATCCTTTCTCACTCTATTTGCATGTTATGCGAATATATTCCCAGAGAAGATCTATTGTTCATAATTTTTATGGATATTGTTTTTGCTGATTTTTTGTTTTTTGGTTGATAGAAAGGAGAAGGTGCACTTCCACAAGAACTTCTTCAGGCTATTAGTCCACCACCACTTGAGTTGCAATTGCAGCAGACGATCCATCATGCTGGAGGACAGAATATGGAGAAATCTGCTGGCAATACTGTGGCAGAACACCCAAGGCAAATTGAGTCTAAATCAAAAGATTTTGAATCTGTCCCTGCAATAAATGATCAGAGTTCCTCAAAGCACGAAGCCGTTTCCAGAGATGAGAAATCCACAGCTCCAACAGTTCATATGCAAGCTATGCCAGTTGTGGTAAAGGAAGCTGCTCCTGCTGGAAAAGAAGAGCAGCAATCAATGAAGTCAGACCAGGAGAATGATTGTGGAATTAACAGAACTCCTGTTAGAACTGAGTTGCCATTAGATAGGGGAAAGGCTATCATACCACATGACACAGTTCAACTTAAGAAACCTGCACAAACTAGCGCTGTTACCCAGTCAAAGGATGTGGCATCCACCGGAAAATATCATGGACCCCTTTTTGATTTCCCCTTTTTCACGAGGAAACCTGACTCATTTGGGTTATCTATGGTGGTGAACAACAATAATTTGTCTCTTTCATATGATGTCAAAGATCTTCTTTATGAGGAAGGCATGGAAGTACTTACAAAGAGAAGGGCTGAAAATTTAAAAAAGATTGAAGGTTTACTGGCAGTGAACTTGGAGAGAAAAAGAATTAGGCCAGATCTTGTTTTGAGGCTGCAAATTGAAGAGAAAAAGCTTCGTCTTTTAGATCTTCAGGCACGATTGAGGGATGAGATTGATCAGCAGCAACAAGAGATAATGACAATGCCAGATAGGCCATATCGTAAGTTTGTTAGACTGTGTGAGCGTCAGCGTACAGAACTTGCTAGACAAATGCAAGCCTCTCAAAGAGCTTTACGAGAGAAACAACTCAAATCTATATTTCAGTGGCGTAAGAAGCTTCTTGAGGCACATTGGGCTGTTCGTGATGCTCGAATTGCCCGCAACAGGGGTGTGGGCAAATATCATGAGAGACTGTTGAGGGAATTCTCAAAGCGTAAAGATGATGATAGGAACAAAAGGATGGAAGCCTTAAAAAATAATGATGTTGATAGATACAGGGAGATGTTGCTAGAGCAGCAGACTAGCATCCCAGGTGATGCTGCAGAGAGATATGCTGTTCTTTCATCCTTCTTAACACAGACTGAGGATTATCTACAAAAATTGGGAAGTAAAATAACAGTTTCCAAAAATCAGCAGGAAGTGGAAGAGGCAGCAAGAGCCTCTGCAGCCGCTGCACGATTGCAGGCATGCTTAAATAAACCCCAAAAAAAAAATGCTCACACACGCACACAGATTCCAAGAATATTGGAAAATGTCTGTTTCTGTTTTTTTTCCCCAATTCATTTTTTTAGTTTTTGTGTTTAATGTTTTCTAGCTGATGTTATTTGAATTTGTTTTTATTTTTTAAACTGGAACCCTTGGATTATTTATTATCACTCATTCATTATCTGGTTTCTGACTAAAGGGTCTCTCTGAAGAAGAAGTCAGAGCAGCCGCAGCTTGTGCTGGGGAGGAAGTGATGATTAGAAATCGTTTTATGGAGATGAATGCTCCTAAAGACAGTTCATCTGTTAGCAAGTGAGTTATTCGTCATCTATTTCAAATAAATACGGTGTCTAGACTGGGCATAAAAATTAGAGGGTGGATCAACAGTGTTACATGTTGGCTCATAACAAGCAAAAGCAAATATGCTTTGTTTTTTTTTTCCAACTTTGAAGCTATGATACTATTTATCTGAAAGTGATTCCATAGAATAACTTATCTGGTGGCAGTAACTATTATTTGGTCATTACTAGGTATTACAACCTTGCTCATGCTGTGAATGAAAAGGTCATAAGGCAGCCATCCATGTTACGAGCTGGAACCTTGAGAGACTATCAGCTTGTAGGTTACTGCATTTGATAAAGTGTTATTCCATAACTGACTGCTTTATGGTGTCTTGATGACTAAGTTTTTAATTCTCTGACATTCTATTTTTGAAGGTTGGCTTGCAGTGGATGCTTTCATTGTATAACAACAAGTTAAATGGAATTTTAGCAGACGAAATGGGCCTTGGTAAAACTGTGCAGGTTATTGTTATGCCTTGCTGTGCCCTTGCTTATTATGGGAAGGGCATTTTATATTTGCTGAAGCATATTGACATCTCCCTTATAAATAATTTTATTTCTTACTCAGGACGTTTCTATAGGGCAATTTTACTCTACTTATTTGTTCAGTGTACTGTATCATGTTTGTGGCAATACCTGTCTGTAACTACTATTAAAGTATTTATCATCCCTCTAGGTTATGGCCTTAATTGCCTACTTGATGGAATTTAAAGGAAATTATGGCCCACATCTTATAATTGTTCCAAATGCAGTAATGGTTAACTGGAAGGTGAGCTTGTACCACTAGTGTCTATTAAAAATTCCTTATATTCGTAACTGTGCTTCTTAACATGGAAAACTCTGTTCATTATCCAGAGTGAGTTGTATAATTGGTTACCCTCTGTGTCATGCATCTTTTATGTTGGGGGGAAGGACCAACGGTCAAAATTATTTTCTCAAGTAAGTGTGTATCTTTTTTTAATTAAATGTATTGGGATATTATTATTACTCTTAATGATCTGTTCCCGCTGTATATGTAGGAGGTTTCCGCCATGAAATTTAATGTCCTTGTGACAACTTATGAGTTCATTATGTATGACCGGTCCAAATTGTCAAAAATTGATTGGAAGTATATCATAATTGATGAAGCACAAAGAATGAAGGATAGAGATTCAGTTTTGGCTCGTGATCTTGATAGATATCGTTGTCAGAGACGTCTTCTTCTGACAGGAACACCATTGCAGGTCAGATTTGCTTTGTCTATAATTTTTACTATATCATGAAGACTGCAGTTGTCTATTTTGTTCTACAGATTCTGCTTCTTTTGATCATTCTTTCAGAGTGTTAATTTTTTGCATTGATGTCTATGCCAGGGGTCTGCATATGAATATTGCTGAGTGATTTTAACTTGCTGATACTTGCATTTAAACATATGCAAAATAGTTGTTGAATTTAGTATCTGAAAAATTCAGTTTCTTTCAACATTGTTTTGCGCATAAGAAGTACTTGATATGAGATGACTTGAGCAGAGATGATGAACACAGTTATGTTATGCCTGCCAGCCAAACCTAATGGCTTATGCTAAACGGTCCTAAAGAAGATAGAGATTGATTAGTGCAATGGTATGCTAGTTTTCGAAGAGTTATGCTCCTCTCTTAGCTGCTATTGTGTCTTTCTTTAGTAGAAGCCTGCCTGACTTTCAGCCAGGAAGTAAAAATCTGGAATTTGATCTCTGCTAGTCATGTAACCTTAACTTTTGGTCTATGAGGATTCTTCTGCGGTCATTTAGGCAATCACTAGTAATATAACCTGCCTGGACTGGGGATATAGACAAGTTGAAGAGCATGCAAATTGGCTTGAACACCACTGATCTAAAAATGCAATTAAGAAAAAAGTTCTCTGACAAACCCATTATGATTGAATATAAAATTCATAATTAAAAAAATGAGTTCATGTTTAAAACATTAATGTATATTCTCTGCATGCCAACTTTATGCTGACACTCGAGAGTTAAATCAAATTTGTATGTTACTTTGTACTTTTCTTGATAGATTTGTAAGTGATGTCATTTTCTTTGTAGAATGATCTGAAGGAACTCTGGTCACTTTTAAATTTACTTCTCCCAGAGGTTTTTGATAATCGAAAAGCATTTCATGATTGGTTTTCAAAACCTTTTCAAAAGGAAGATCCTACTCAAATTGTAGAGGATGATTGGCTTGAGACAGAAAAGAAAGTTATCATTATTCATCGACTCCATCAGATTCTTGAGCCTTTCATGCTGAGGCGTCGTGTTGAAGATGTTGAAGGCTCACTACCCCCGAAGGTAAAACTTTGGAACTCTTAGTTAAATGTTTGCTCTTTCTATTAGCTCACTTCAAGCTGCATTGCAGGTCTCCATAGTTTTACGATGTAAAATGTCAGCTATCCAGAGTGCCATTTATGACTGGATCAAATTCACTGGTACCCTTCGGCTTGATCCTGAGGATGAGAAGCTTAGAGTTCAAAAGAATCCACTTTACCAGGTGAAGCAGTACAAGACTTTAAATAATAGATGCATGGAGCTGCGTAAGACGTGCAATCATCCGTTGCTTAATTACCCATACTTCCATGACTTATCCAAAGATTTCCTTCTGAAATCTTGTGGGAAATTGTGGATCCTTGATAGGATCCTTATTAAACTGCAACGAACTGGACATCGAGTTCTGCTGTTTAGTACTATGACAAAACTTCTAGACATTATAGAAGAATACCTGCAATGGCGGCAACTTGTTTACAGAAGAATTGATGGGACAACTAGTTTGGAAGACCGTGAAGCAGCTATAATGGACTTTAATAGCCCAGATTCAGACTGTTTCATCTTCTTGCTTAGCATTAGAGCTGCTGGGAGAGGCCTTAACCTTCAGTCAGCAGACACAGTCATCATATATGATCCTGATCCAAACCCAAAAAATGAGGAGCAGGCAGTTGCAAGGGCTCATCGCATTGGACAGACTAGAGAAGTCAGGGTTATCTACATGGAAGCTGTTGTTGACCAAATTCCAAACCATCAAAAAGAAGATGAATATAGAAGTGGGGGCACTGTCAATTTGGAGGATGAACTTGCTGGTAAGGATCGTTATATGGGATCCATTGAGAGCCTCATTAGGAACAATATTCAACAATACAAGATTGATATGGCTGACGAGGTCATCAATGCTGGACGTTTTGATCAAAGAACAACACACGAAGAGAGACGTATGACTTTGGAGACATTATTACATGACGAAGAAAGATATCAAGAAACTGTCCATGATGTTCCCTCTCTACAGGAGGTGAATCACATGATTGCCAGGAGTGAAGAAGAGCTCGAACTGTTTGATCAAATGGATGAAGAACTGGATTGGACTGAGGAGATGACACGGTATGATCAAGTGCCTAAGTGGCTTAGAGCCAGTACAAAAGAAGTCAATGCCACTATTGCTGCATTATCAAAAAGACCTTCAAAGAACACTTTCTTGGGTGGTAATATTGCGGAATCCAGTGAAATGGGTTCTGATGCATCTGCAAAAAGTGAAAGGAGAAGAGGACGACCCAAGGGGAAAAAACATCCCAGTTATAAAGAGTTAGAAGATGAAAATGGAGAATCCTCTGAAGCAAGTTCTGAAGAAAGAAATGGATATTCTTTAAATGAAGAAGGGGAAATAGGAGAATTTGAAGATGATGGGTATAGTGATGCTGATGGAGCTCAATTAAATAACAAAGATCAAATGGATGACGGTCCACCTTGTGATGCAGGGTATGAATTTCCCCGTTCCTCAGAAAGCATGAGAAACAGTCATATGGTTGAAGCAGCTGCTTCCTCAGGGTCATCCTCAGACAGTCAAAGATTGACGCAGACTATATTTCTGTCAGTTTCCTCTCAGAAATTTGGTTCCCTCTCTGCATTAGATTCTAGGCCTAGTTCCATTTCCAAAATGATGGTATGTGTCATTGCATTGCTTTTTGAATTTTAACTCTTTTCTTTTAGGTGTTTGGCTTTCTCTATCTCTTTCTGAATTTTGTTATTTTATTCTATCTGGTAATGTTTGCCAGACAGAAGAATTAGAGGAAGGGGAAATTGCAGTATCTGGTGATTCTCATGTGGATCACCAGCAATCTGGCAGTTGGATTCATGATCGTGAGGAAGGAGAAGATGAACAGGCTTTGCAACCCAAATTTAAACGGAAACGCAGTCGCCGTGTTCGACCCTGTCTTGCTACTACGGACAGGGTTGAGGAAAAGTCTGGCAGTGAGATGGCACCTCTTCAACATGGAAAATCGGCTCATTTGACTGTCCACGCAGACCAGAAATATCATGCACAATCACGGACTGAACCTGATGCAAAATCACTTGGAGAATTTAATGCTGCCAGGCATGATCAGAATGAGTTATTGTTAACAAATAAGCGAAGTATGCCTTCAAAGAGAGTAACTAATAAATTGCATGGTTCACCTAAATCTGGTAGATTGAATTGTATTTCTGCCCCTTCAGAGGATGATGGTGAACAACTCAGAGAAAAGTGGGAGGGTAAGCCTATCAATTCAATTGGGTCTTCAGCTATTGGTGCTAAAATGTCTGAAATGGTACAGAGAAAGGTACGTGTCACTAAAGAGAGCCTTTTGTGACTTTGGAAAAGGAATTGGTACAACTGCTGGTCATAGGAACTGTCAATCAGAGCAATATATCATATATTGATTACTCTGGACTTCATTCATAATAATTTATTATTATAATAATAGAATAAATTCATTATAATGTTGGCAGGCATCTCATCTTCACATGGCTTCATTCTTACCAGCTGCGCTTCTGAAATTGTTGTCAGCTTCGTTCCTTTCATTTTATCTTTCATTCAAGCTTTCTGTAGCCAGCAAGAATTGAATCTCACTTCTTGAATTAGAAGTGGAGCATTGCAAATAATAAATTGGAACACCAAATCAGTCCAAATATGTGATCTGATGATAATCCTTGGCTAAACAACAAGGCTCACATTGTTTGGGATTCAGGGAAATACAGTGGACTTGTTACATTATTGGAATCCCAGATTGCCTTGTCTGCTTTAATGAGATATTTTAGTGGGTCAAAGATAGGTATTTAGAGTGAAGGTCCATGGTATGCATGTAATGATTCCGACAGGGCTAGTTGCTGTAAAGCAAGGTTTGCCAAATATGAATTTTGTAAATTTATATGCAGGAAATCACCCATGATAGGGAGACAAAGGGGACTTCTTTTTGCTTTTCTTTTTTTCTCTTGGTTTTTGTTTGAGGAAGAGTGCACTTAAGGAAGTTATCAAATGGGTTCTCTTGGTGCATGATATATCTAAAGAGTTAGTTATTGATAGGGTACAATAACATCATACATTGACTTTCTATATAGCCAACCTCATTCAGTTTGATGAAGCTTCTTCTTGGTGGTGGTGAGGAAGAGAAGATCACTTGAACTATTGTTATTCAAAATCTAGTGTATGGACCATAATTTTTCACCAATACTTGATCCTGCTGTAGTTCATCTTGACTCACTCCGGTCCTTCTCTGGCTCCTTATATCAATCCCATGAGTCTATTGTCCAATCTCAATTCTCATTATCTAGAACTTCCTCATTGAGCTCCTTTTTGTGTTGATGATTTTATGCTCAAATTATTTACGTATCCTTAATTTTCCTTTCATATTCATAAACTCTGTAGATTCCTACACTGCAGCATGGCATTGTTACTCTGATTTTTTGGTCATTGTTTGTTATTTGTTGATGGATCTTTGTTAGAGATTATATAAAATTATGAGCCCTCACTTATTTTTTTGTCTAAATGTTCCTTAGCATGGCATTTGAGCTTTTCATTCCCTTAATTCAAATTAAATTCAAGCACAAGGTATGCCCTCAGGCTGGCGGGCCTTGTGGGGTTGTGTGAAATGCCTTGTACCAGTTTAATAAATATTATTTATTGGCCTTCACTTGACAACTTCAGCTTTTTCTTAGCTGAAGTAGCTTTGACAATCTGTTCTAAATAATCTCAGTTGGTGATTGTCCAATTAGTTTTTCTTCTCGTTCATGTACTGTAAACTCATGCTAAGTTTTCCTCTTGCAGTGCAAGAATGTAATTAGCAAGTTTCAAAGGAGAATAGATAAGGAAGGTCATCGGATTGTTCCTTTGCTTACTGACTTGTGGAAGAAGAATTCTGGACACACTGGTGGGTGTGGGAATAATTGGTTGGACATACAGAAGATTGATCAGCGAATTGATAGGTTTGAATATAATGGAGTATTGGAGCTTGTGTGTGATGTGCAGTTCATGCTGAAGTGTGCGATGGATTTTTATGGGTTCTCACATGAGGTTAGATTTCATATCTGTTGTCACTGTGCAAAATTGTCTACTTAAATTTTGGCCTTTAGTATAGAAGCCCGTGGATTTGTTTATGGCATCTGTATGGTATTCTCTTTCCAAATAGCCAGTTCTGAAAAATTATCAGCTTGTCTGGTTCCCTTTTGGGTTGCTCCAGACATGATTGGACCAGTTACCTCTGCATGGATGCTGCTTTTTGTAAAGCAAATTCAAGAATGAATCGAGAAACGATTGTAAATGGAGTCTAAAGATGAAAAAAATTACGCCTGCTTCTGATGCTCCGTCTTGCTCTTTTTTTTTTTTTTTTTGTATTTTCAATCATAATTCTTTTTAAATTGGATCCACTAGATTCATGAATTCATACATTCAAAGAGATGGTGACACAAAATAATGTGACTATGTGTACTATTTCAAGCACAAGGTATATACTATTTTTGATATAAGGGACCCAGTCTGACTTCTCTTCTTCTAATTTATCATAGGTAGAATAAGAGAGAAAACTTATTGATCTGGTTCCATTTGGACTTGGGGTGCAAAGTACAAGGGTCCATACACACACGTGCACAGTATCTATCGGCATTTTTTTTTTGTGGGGCATAAATTGATCAGCAAATTTGAATTGTGCTTGATTTCATGGAGTTGGTAAGCTGTAGGCAGATAATTTTTCCACCATATATTGATTAAATTGCGTGAGATTGAATAAAGTAGTACTTTTTTGTGGTGTAAAGTTCATGCTTGTGTCGATGCTTTGTTAAATTAGGAATTTCAACGTAACTGTAGCACAAGTTTTTTATTTTATTTTATTTTATTTGAGTCTTTGTTAAATGAACAAAGATGACAAATACAATGATAAATGATGAATACAGTTCAAAAAAATCATTGATCCTGACATAACCTTATGCTACGAGTTATTTCCCAACTGGATTATGATTATGCCTGATGTTCGATACTGTTGTACATTTGAAGAAAAATGTTTACACGAGATCCTGTCGTGATTCTGATTTTCATTATCAATATGCCTCCATCTATATATATCCATTATCCAACTGGCACGTCAAAAAAATGTTACAAGAGTTATATGTGATCTCTGTATGCTAATGCAACCAATATCATAGTGATTCTTGCTGTAAAAAATGGCATGGCATGTGCCTACCCTTATTTCAATTTTGAGGATTGTTACTGAATATTAAACACGAGACTGACATATTTTTAGGGTATTGATTGAGTACTGATTATATGACTTTGGCCATTAGAATTTACACTCTCTAGCCCTATCTTTCTGAATTTGTGAAGTTCTCATAGGTCATCATGATTCACACAGGTAAGATCTGAAGCAAGGAAGGTCCACGATCTCTTCTTTGGTATCTTGAAAGTTGCATTTCCTGATACGGACTTTCAAGGGCCAAGAAGTGCACTTTCTTTTGCTGCACCGACTTCAGTCAGTACTCTTGCATCCCCAAGGCATTTAGCTGTTGGCCAAAGCAGAAGGCACAAGCCGATAAATGAGGTGGAAAATGATCCGGGCCCCTCACAGAAGCAACTGCATCGGGGTTTTTTTCCGAGTGGTGAAAGCACCAGGATCAGAGTGCATCTGCCACCTAAGGATTCAAGAACTGGAACAGCTTCTGGCAGCACCAGAGAGCAAACTCAGCAGGATGATTCTCCGCTACTCACTCATCCAGGTGAACTGGTAGTGTGCAAGAAGAGAAGAAATGAGAGGGACAAATCCTCAGGGAAGACTAGGGGTGGCTCAGCCGGCCCTGTTTCTCCGCCTAGCTCTGGTCCTGCTATAAGAAGTCCAGTACCAAGTTCAGGTTCAAAGGATGCTAGACTGGCTCAACAGACTGCTCAAGGGTGGACACGCCAGCCATCTCAACAACCAAACGGGTCTGGTGGATCAGCCGGTTGGGCGAATCCTGTGAAGCGGTTGAGGACGGATTCTGGGAAAAGGAGACCGAGCCATCTATAGAATTCTCAAAGACGGTAAATTGTTATGAATTAGTGGCCATTACCTTCTGTGGAGTCTAGTCCAATTTGTTCATATAGCCTCTGTTGGTATTCTAAAGCTACCTCAATGGGTTAAATGCCAATAATTTTCCTAATTTTTTATCTGGGTATCTGCAGCTTGCAGGTATTGCCTTTCTTCAGATAGCTGAAGCTTTTGTATAGATTTTTTTTTTTTTAAATGATAGCATCATTGGAAAGAGGGGGGGATGTTACCTCTATCTCTATGACTGAAAGCCGCCATTTATTTACGCCTTTCAGCTGCAATATCGATTATCGATCATTTAGTCGCTATTCCATAGATAGTTGAGATTTTTATCTTTGGATTTATGGTTGAATAAATGGTAAATCGGCTATCTGCAAGAAAAATATTTTTCAATTCGAATGTCATATTCATAAAAGAATAATTGTATATGATATATTTTAACAATTTTAAAAAAGAAAGAAAAGGAAGTGGTGAGTGAGTACTGAGTGCAGAGTAAGAGCCTAACCCAAGTTACAGAGGTATTTTTTAAATTGCTTGCCGTAATTTGAAAAATCGTTTCAACGGAGGCATTTTGCTCGAATTCTCTCTCACCCAAGTTACGTATTCGACAAGTTCTCAGTATTATTATATTCGCCTGTGAGGCCAAATTGCCAGATCGATCTCAAACATCTTTCTCGTTGGAATTTTATCTAATTGAAAAAGTCATTGTACTAGTTCTCAGAATGTTATTTTATAATAATGACTGTTGTATGACATGAATACAAGTTTGAATGTTTTAAGCGAAATTAGGTTATGTTATTAATTTTTTTATTTCAAAACTAAATGTTTTTTGTTGAATGAGTTGAGTGCTTTTGTTTGGATTTATGGTTATTGTTATTTTTTAATTGCTAGTAAGTATTCTCTTATTAAAAGCAATCTTATTTGAGACATATTCAGACATTAAATGTGAGAACTTCTCTACGCTCTCTATAGGGATTTAAATATTTATTTACTATGTTATGAGGGATTAATTTCTTCTATTAAATCTACACCCATTAATAATATAAGGTTATTCTTTTAACATACAAACTTTTGCAGGAATTGCGTCTCATCTAGGGAAAACATTAATCGAGGACCCTTGGAGAACTTAATATCAACTAAGGACCTTGGAATTTTAATATTGCAATACACCCCATAATATTGATTTGAAAATAAGTTTTAATGAAAAAAGACCCAATTATGCCTAAAGTTTAAAATAATAACCCATTCAAGTGTTGATGATAATTCATTTGTAACTAACAACAACCCATTAAAAAAATGAACAAGTTAAAAAAATTGATAATACATGTTAAATTGGACAAGTGTTAGTTTCATATAAATAAATATTTATTTAAATTTTAACAATAATTTATCAGTAATTAACAATAATCAATTAGGAAATGAACAAGTTAGGCAAATTGATATGATAGGTCAAACTAGATAATTAGTCTTGCATAAACAAGTATTTATTCACATTTTGACAGTAACCTGTTCATAATTAATAATAATCCATTTAAAAATAAACATATTAAAAAAAGGATAGGATAAGTTGAATTAGACAAGTGTTAATTCTATATAAATAATTATATATTTAAATTTTAATAATAACTCATTTTTAATTAACAACAATTAATTTGAAAATGAACTATTTAAAAAAAATTAACAGGATATGTTAAATTGGACAGTGCTAGTCTTACTTAAACATGTATCATAATTAACAACTTGTTTAGTTTCGTCATGGGAACTAGCTGAATCTACGATGCCTTTTTCAGAAGCTTCTCTGTGCAAGATGTCAAAGAAAACGCAATTGGAAGGACTGATAATCCTTTTCCACTCGGTCCAGCATCATCTTCAATCTTTCATGTTCTTCTTTCACCCCACCCATCTCTTCTTTAGCAGACTTGAGCTCATCATTCCTCATTAGAAAATAAATAAATAAATAAATAAATAAATAACAACATACAATCAATAAGCTTTTGACCTGAATTTCTGAGCCATAGCGTTATAGATTATGACAGAAACTATGTGCCACATTCAACTAAGCCCAGTCCGTACGAGTCCTTTCGCCGAGGGTTGCTTCGTTCCAAATTCCAGAGGACTCTGTCCATAAAATGTTGGGGCGGAGGGTCTTGTCGCGAGGAGGATGCAACCTTCTAGAGGAAATATGAGTAAGATATTTTAATATCGGATCTATCTACACCTCTTGGGATCGCCCATTAATTACTTTTGCGCTGTTTTCAATTTATATATCCAATGATGGAAGAAAACGATGGAGAAATCTGGATTTTTTCACTCACGAGAACTTCGATTCTCAGCTTCAGCTTTCTCGTTTAGTTGTTGCTCTTTTATCCAAAGGGATAATTATGTCTTTTCGCATAAAATCTTATTGGGAAAATAGCAAGATCTCAGTATTAAATTAATATCAATAAAAAATTAATTAACTTTAAAATTATAATGTAGTCCCTTAGTCCTTAATTTGTGAGGTCAAAAGACCAAATAGTCCATAAAAGTAAAAAAAAAAAAAAAATTCCACCTCTCCACAGTGCATTCAAGCTTTTAACAAGCTAAAAAAATAGATAGGATGACATAATTGTACTTATTAGTTTTTCATCAATAAATATCTATTCAGGTTTTAACAATTACTACTTATTCAAAATTAACATCAGTCATTCGGGCTTTAACAAGGTAGAAAAACATATACAATGAACTTAATTGTATGTGTCAGTCTTTCATCAATAAATATTCATTCATGTTCTAACAACAAATCATTCTAAATTAACATTATATTCAGGCTTTAATAAATTAAAAAAAGAATAACATGAGTTTAACTGTACAAGTGTTAATCCTTCATCGACAAGTATACATTTAAATTTTCACAACAAAAATGCATAATTTTAAAACTTCTAATTTATAATTGTCCATGTTAGATTAATAAGTAACATTAATAAAATAACAAGTACAGTTCATGAATTAATAACACACTGTTATATTATAAAATGAAAGTAGTTAGAAGCTTGATTTACTATTTATATATATATATATATATTGGCATGTATAATTAAAGGGTTTGGTGACTTAGTGATCATGAAGTGTTTTAGGTAACTAAGGAGTCATGAGATCAAACCTTCCCTTAGCCATCTAAGCCAAATATTCCTTAAATAAAAATATCGTTAGCATCAGGGCTCTAATGACCTCGCTACCAGCGAGGGTCCAGTGGCGGTTTGACACCAATGATGGTGGGAATGTGGGGTTTTTTTTTTCCCCACCTTCAGGAACAATTTGATCTTTTAACCTTACAAATTAATATCAGTTAAGGATCAAGGGACTGCATTACAGTTTTAAAATTAATTGATATTTAACTGATATTAATTTAATACTAAAGTCCTTGATTGCTATTTTCTCAAACTTATTTTTAGTTAAGTACTATGTGAGTGCAGCACAGTACTTGAATTTTAAGCACCTCAACTGGTATTAAATTTCTCTGGAAGTGGTCCTCAGCTAATATTTTCCTGTTTCTCTTTATTGCCATCATTGTTTTGACATCGTCTTATCTCTTACTGCTGTGTTAAATCCTGTTTTTATTAAACTCCTCTATTCCTTGGTGCCATTTAACGATTCGAATTGGAATTCAAAATTATCATCTAATAAATTATATGAAAAAACCTTCGTTGCAACTCTCCTAAGATTATTATATTTTACTGAGCATTTCAATTCATTCCATTATTTATTGTTGGCAGAATGAAGGACGGAATTTGATTTTTCTACCCCAGCATAGTTCATTAATCACGTTTAGGTAGCGGTAAAACATATCTGCTGAATGTTTAACACAACTGGAAGAACCTAAAAGTTCTCTAATCTGTATGCTCTAGATGAAGTTGATGTAATTAGGAATTTGTTTCTGCACAAAATCTGAATATGAAAATTTAGCTTGCACAGACTAGCGTGCTATCATACTCATTAAAAAGATGGAGAGAATGAAAAGAATACACTAAAAATCATCAGTTGCAAAAAAATAATAAATAAAAGAAATTGCTTTAAAATATCCAAGTGCAAAATAAGCATGCTTAAAGGATCCAACTATTTCGCGAGCATGTTAGAATACATTACTTACCATCAGGCTCAAAGCACAACTCCGTCGGATCATGCACTTAAAAGATTTTGAGAAGAAAAATATTGCATCAGGAAATCAATGTGACATTATTTACAGCGACAGGAAACTAAGAGGGAAGGGAATTTGTTCCCCCTTGTCAACAATCAAGTTCGTTACATGAGATAAGATATTTAGCAGTATACCATAATGTACAGATAAAATACAGGCAGATTGAATGATAAAGTAGGCTTATGTGGCTAAGGGTCAGCTTTACCAGCCACCTGTTCATCACTGGAGTCAAATTCATCCTCAGTCAGCTCCTCATCGCTGCTGGATTTCTCTTCTGCAGCAGCTCCGATGTCTTCAGGCTTCGCAAACTTCTGGCAGTATTCTGAACAATGAACTCAAACGTCAGTACAATTTTAAATTCAGAACAAAGGTCTCTGATGTACAAACTGAAACCATTCAGAAAATGGGTCTCGGAAAATTAGCACTCCCCCAGCATCCCCCCCCCCCCCAAAAAAAAGGAAAAAAGAAAGAAAGAAAGAGGCAACGCTATCTAGTCTGCATGGCAGCGTTCATGAATCACGATGGCCAGCACTGGTAAGCAGTAATTCTAATTGTTCCTTTGAAAACAAGAATGCTGACAGCTGAATTCTTGTTAAATGTGAATTAAAAACATAGCATGAAGAATTCAACCGCCTTGCTATACACCACAGAGAATAATGATCAATGACCTTAGGAACCAAGAGAGATTTTTAGGCAACCAAGCCAATATTCGACATATCAAGTTATCAACACACAAGTATAGGTAGATTCCACTAAAAGATGTGTCCAACATGGTCGCTGATTTATTCACAATCGGTAGTCTACCTATGTACCTAGTGAATCTTCAAGGATTTAATACACATGTCTGAATGTAACATATTACAGTTAAGTAGAAGGATGCATCAAGTAATACACATCAGTTCAACATTATTAGAAACTTAAGAAAGTTGATTGAGCCCTAGAGCTTGACAGATCAGATGCTTTGAAGTGAAAAGGGTGGAGATAACATGATTTCACCATAAACATTGGAATATAAATTATTTTCATAAGCAAACTCAGATTTGTTACATTCATTCATGAAATGCAGTAACATGAGATAAGAGGTTTCCTAGCCAAGTCAGTGAACAAATATCAACCCTTTTATTCACATGAACAAGAGCTTATTCCTTGGCACATGTTTGTTATTAAAAGAAAGTCATTCCTGTGCATATAGTGGAAAGGGGAAAGCCTATTTTTCACGGGTAAATTGGGCACATACATTGCTAGCAAGGATTTATTCTTGTAAAACATAGATACTACCATGCAATAGAAGAGATGACGAATCTCTTAGTGTGTCTACTAAAATAGACATAATTTTGAGTTTCCATGTGTGAATATAACAAATGGTAAACCCAAAAAGTAAGCTATGCTTCAAGAGTATTCTCTCTTCCCCCTGAACCTGTTACCTGAGTCTTAATTTTCTCTTCCTCTTCTCTCTTCAGAGTTAAGGAGATTGATCCCTGTATTTTATTCTTGTGTTTAATTTAGCCTTCACAATTTCAATTACAACAATTGAGCCCTCGTAATGATCTGAATAGAATAGACAGTCGCAAGGATTTTCTTATCCATAACAAGATACCTTGTAAATATAAACTAAAGAGGAAAAAACAAATTGTGCAAAAGCTTGAGCTAGATTTGGAAAAAAAAAATCCATAAACTTGGTTTAGAAAGCAACTTACTAACCCAGAAAAAAAGGAGAAAGAAAATAGGATTTGTTCAACCATCACTGGATTTACTATAAGAAGTTTCACATCATCATTAATCAACTATTCTGTTCAACCATCACTGGATTTACTACTATACTCAAACAAGCTTTCCTGTTAACTTCATTATATAGTCATTTCCTACTCCTTTTGTAGAAGCTCATATCTCTCACTTTCCTTTAAGGATGCCACAATGCAGTGGCAAGATACCAGTGGAAAATGTTGATTAATTCTGGCAGGTAAGGTCACAAGAAGGTGAGGTCTATAATGCAGGCAATCAACAAAAAGTTGCGACATCTTTTCTTTTATCAATATGTTCTCAAAAATCATTGAATATTTATGCACTTACAAGTATTTGTGTGTGGGGCTGTGCACATTTAAGCTGAACTGTATCTGCTTGGCAAAATGATCAAAGCAGTCTAATTCTATTCTTCTGAGGCCTCAAAAGTTGGTTCAATTGTTTTCCATGGTTGTAGAATTTTCTCGTAACTAACACTTGGATGAAGAAAAGAAAATTTGTAAAGAACACAAGTCCTACCTCTAAGCTTTCAAGGTTTAGTCAAAGAAGCACAGGAAGTAGGTAATCCTCTCAAGGAACAAGCCCATATCAACTAATAGAAGAGCTGAAGATTCCAGAAAATAAATCTTTACAAATGATCAATACCTTTAACCCTTTGATCATAAGCAGCTCGGTCACGCATCATTAAAGCTGCAGCTTCTCCATTCAAAGGGTCGGATGGGTTGGGATACAAAAGAAGTTGTGGAAGAAACACCTCAAATACATTAACAAGATCTAGAAGAAAACACAGTTTGACATTTGATGAGGAATAAAAATCTTTAAATAGAAAATTAAAATGTAGCTACACTTTTCTCAGAAAACCTATTAAGATCAATACCAAACATGGGGCTCCAGGTTTGATTGATAACATCCAGACAAACTGAACCTGACCTGAAATTAATGTTATCCAAAACAGTCAGGCATGAACTAGTTTGCTCTAAAAATAGAGAAGAAAGGTAATCAACTAAGTAGAGTTACAGAGTACTGAATTTAGACATGCTCACATCTCATCAACATTTGGGTGATAGATCTTATTGACAAAGCCTATGGAGGGTGATTTATAGGGATAAGCATCAGGCAGTTCAACTCTTACTTTCCAAACACCTCCATGATAAGGACCTGGCAGAAGCCATCACAAGGATTAAATGATGATTGGAAAAAAGATGCATCAGACAAGAAAAACCCGTTTACTCAAATTCTAAAAGGCTGAGTTCAGTTCAATATGGAGAACTTGAACAGAACAATAACCAAAGAGCTAATCAGAAGTTGCTATGGTATATATAGAACCATCCCCCATCCCCCAAAAGAACCAAAAAGAAATCTAGCTCATACAAATACTAATTTGGCTAATAATTATTGCCATTTTTGGACTGAGAATACAGGAATAGCAAATGGGAAATCAAAAGTAACTGATAAAGATTGCTTTGTATCATGTTGCTGCAACCCAAATCTAACTCGAGAGCCGCCAAACATATAGGGTGGTCATATACTATATCCAGAAAGCGAAAACAAGTAGGTAGCCATCGAAGCTGAATATTTTATACACCAAGCACCGAAAGAAGAAATAGAATATACAAGAACGGGAATTTACTGTCATTAGGTCCATGGAAATGCACATAAAACTCTTGCATTCCATCATTGATCATCTCCACCTTGTAATCACTCATCATCCTTCAAAAATATACAAGTCCAAAATCAGAAACCAAAACGAGAAACTAGAATCAAAATTGAAGACCCAATCAGATTTTTATGTTTTTAAGAGGATCAACAGTTTCATCAAGTCCATCTCTCGCCGCTTGCTTGAGGAAGACATCTTTGTTCTGCGCCTACTTTTTGCTTGCTCAGAGGATGGGAAGATGAAGAAAAGCGATGGATGAGAAAGAGGAGACCTGGCTTTTGAAACAGGAAGAAGCAAAATTGATTGAGACGACAATCAGCAAAACCAGGAGGAGACAACGATAATGGATGATTATAGATTTCCGATTAGGTCCAATCACATTATTTTATTACTACTGTTTACAATGCCTTGTACTTCCAAGATTCCTCCGTCAGTCCTTCCCAGTGGTGCCTCTTTGTCAAAAATTAACCGCCCTCTCCTGTTGTACTCACTGCTTCTAATTCTCTAACCCTAATTGCTTTTCACAGGGTGACTTTTTTGACCACGAATTGTTCTTTGGGAAGGTGCAGGTCGGATTTGATTTTCTAGATATACTCTTTAAAAATATAAAATTTTTTTTAAAGAATTTAATATTTAAAAATATAAAATAATTTTAATCTTTTAAAATATAATTATTTTTTAAAGTGTTTCTATTAATAGTAATTTTATATTTATTATAGGATGTTTAATAAGAATAAATATAAAAAGATAGGATTAATTTAAAAATAGTTAATTATTTTATTGAGATGTGAGATTAAATTAAAAATGCCTCACATTTTTTAACGGAGGGAGTACATCTTTTTTATAAATTCAAATAACTTTGAGTGTGTGAAATTTTGAAAAAAAAAAATCTTGAATCCCCTTAATTTTTTCTAAACATTCAATAAATTTTCATCTTTTTCACTATTAAATATTTATACTTTAAAAATAAAATATTTTAAAATTTATAACATTCTCAATATTTAATAAATGTAAGAGGATAAAAATTAATATAATATTTATTTGAGTATCTTATAAATAGTATCAATATCAAAATAAATATTTTTTACCATATAAGTAGGACCTTTAATATTTTTTAAATATTTAAATTTTTATCATTCAACAAGCTTTTGATTTGTATTGAACCATACAAAGAAGGCTAACAAAAAATTGCATGATCTCATGGAATATGTGAAGAAAAATTGAAAAAACAATTGTGTGGGAGGGAAAAAGACACACTATTTATGATTTATGAATTATGTAGCCTCATGTAAATTTATATTTTATATGGTTGATTTATTTTAGATAGTATATCATACAAATACAATTTAGAACCTTCAAACAATTTTTATACAAATGTTTGTATGTCTTATTTCCATACATATCCACTTCATTGTTCGTGCTTAATGTTTCCTTGAAATTTTGTTCGCACTTTTAAAATAACCTCGTGAGCTTAAAAATTTAGACACCTTTTAGTATAATGGAAACATTTTTTATGAAATTAAAATCAGAATATAGTTATAGTATTAAAATATGTTTGATATGATATGGAATCTTTTATAAGTTTTAAATTTGTAAATGTATTTACAATATGAAAAGACAAAATAAACAACTCTATAGCTAACATTGAGAGGAGGGAGAGAGATAGTGTTGGAATATTTATGAAATATTTATATACTATGAATTTGCATTAATTAGATATTGAGTCAATAATAGATTGGTCTTTATGATTTGTGTGTATTGCAATAGGTGAATCACACATGTAAGTTTAATGGACAGAGGCCCAACTTATAACTTTATAGCCGTCAGTTATTTCTTATTTTTTAAATGACCAAGTCAAAGATAATGAGAGATTAATTTATTAATTAATTATTAATGCAGTTACTAATGTGATCCATATAATGCAATTAATCGGTAACCAATACACACAACACTTTCCACTCTCTCCATTATCTCCGTACTCTCTAAAAACTATGAGAGTCAAGGAGATTGTGAGTTTCTTTATGCTCAAGATAAACGAGGAGTCACAGTCATTCATGAATTCTTCATGTATGCATATTACTTTACTTAATCATATTTGACTTATATGAATTGAGATATTAAGGTTATCACATGGTATTAGAGTTGAAGTTATGAATATTAAATTTAGAGTATCTGAATTAATATGTTCATTTTTGTAACGGGATGGAATTCTATGAGAATATAATATTTGGTTGGACTTTCTTATTTTAATGACTATTTATCATGAAATTCATGAAAATGAAGCGATCTCAATTCTAGTCTTGTATTCGACAGTACTTGCATATCAATGTAATGCTCGCTCTAAATTCTTTAAACCTTCAGTGCATCACCTGCTTCTTCTCTGCCATTTGCTTTAATTCCATTTCTTAGCAAAGATGGTGCATATTATCATAAGATTCCAAGATAATTGCGTGAATGGATTTGCTTCCTAGTGTGTTTTGGATTTATAAAACTGTTGGAAGCCTATGTTTTTTCGCTTTTGACTCTACTGTGGCTATCTTTAGGAGCTAGCATCATTAGGTCATCAGAACTCGCTGTCAGAGATTCTAGTTCACAACCTCTCTCATTCAGTTTCATAATATCGTAGCAAGTTCTGGAGTCATCAGTGTCGTGGCTGTCTAGAATATTAAAAATATAAAAATATAAAGACTTAAAATATTAAAAAAAAATGTAAAGACCTATAACATTGAATGATATTTTAACAGTTACAAATTATTTTTGAGAAATTAATTATAAAGAATATAATTAAATTAAATTAACAAAATATATAAATGTATAATTTTTTTATTTTTGAAAAAAATTGGCTCCCTTCAACTTCCAAGGCTAGTTTCACCCTTGTGCTTATGCATTTGTATGATCAAGGGTTTACCCATGTGGGTTTAAATCTTTTGAGATAATCTTGATTTAGTAGGAGTTTGAGTTGTATTCTTGTGAGGACATTTGATGATTTAAGATCATTTTACTATTATGCTCAATTTTTTGTTTAAAAAACAATTAGATGCTTTATATTATTTGCTTCCTCATAGAATTTGATGATTTATGTTTGTGCATCTTGTATAACTTGTTCCTTCATAGGATTCAATAATTTTGTGTTATTTCTCTATTGAATTTCAATCTAGATTCAAAGATCTTATGGTGCTTTATATAGTTTGTTTCCTCATAGGATTCAATGACTTGTGTTAATGCATTTTATGTCACTTGTTTTCCCATAGAATTTAGTGACTTCATGTTGTCTCTTTACTGAGTTATGGTTAGAAGACCCATTGTATGTCCAGTTTAATTAGACGTGTCTACATCATTTGTATCTCTATAGGATTTAATGATTCTGTTGTGGTACGTTATACATGTCGCTTGTTTCTTCATGGGAATTAATAATATTATGTTGTTATCTTGCTAAACTGTGTTTGAAATAAAATTTTATATTTTGTTCTATTTAGATTATGAAACACTACTTTTATGTCTAACTATCACTTGATTCCCCTTAGGGTCTAGTGATTTGTAAAGTTTCAATTTTTAAATTTTATTGGTGGCCTAATGGCGTTTAATTAATATAATCGAAGTGGGAGATTATTAAAATATTTATATATTATGTATTTGCATTAATTAGATATTGAGTCCAGAACAGATTGGTCTTTATGATATTATATGGATCATGATAGGTGGATTACACAAGTGAGTCCAATGGGCAGAGACCTAACCTTATAGCCGTCAGTTATTTTCTATCTCTTAATAGATCGAATCAAAGATAATGAGAGATTAATTTATTAATTAATCATTAAGGTGATTGCTAATATGATCCATATAATGCAATGAATTGATAATCAACACACATAACACTTTCAATTCTCTGTACTCTTTGAAAACTATAGGGGGTTTAATAGTTATGAATCTGCTTACACTCAAGGTGATCGAGGAGTCACAATCATTCATAAATTCTTCAAATACGCATATTACTTTACTTAATCTTATTTGATTCATATGAATTGAGATAATAATGTTAATAGGCAGGATATTGAAAGGAGGAAGAGAGGTAGGACAATTCCATGGAATCAGCTTAATTCTACCATGATAATGATGGAAACAGATTCCAAGTATTTTAGCTAAATTGAGTTCCATGAGAAGTTTGAATTGATAAATACCAACTAATCAAAGTTTAACTCCAATCCTGTTTACTCCAATGTACCAAATGAGGTCATGGAAGAAAAGAACCTTAAAATCCCACCAAAAAATGGGAGGCAACTCAACTCCACCAAAAAAAGGGGAGGCAACTCATTCATTAGAACACACATCATTGCTACTCCATTAGAAATTAACTCATTTGAAAATTTGTTTTTTACTATGTTATTAGTCATGCTTCTAATCATTAGATTAGACCTCTTAATATACCAATGTCCTATGGTTGAACTGGAAATCAAGGGCTGAGTCTTGTGCGAATGGGTTTGTCCAGTACAACTTGTCGTGTACAGTTCAAATTAACTTATTCTCTTCACATTGAGCAACTTAGAAGTCCAGTTCAATTAAAAAAGCATGAATGATCTGTACAAAAGTCTAATGGGATCCAACTCTATCTTAACTTGTTTTGTCTTAATTTGAAATTCGGCATAGTAATTGAGTTCGAATAATTTTGTTTAAATTTTTAGATATGTGAAACTCTTAAAGTCTTGAAATTATTTTATCATTTTAAACATGTAGTTCTTCGGTCGGTAAAAAAAAAAAAACCATGTAGTGGGTCGTTTTAATACTATAAATGTCGCCCTCGCCCATTCTTTGCATCACTTATCTACATTGTGCACGTGCTTGTGTTTATTCATTTTAGGATTAAAATAAAATTAATTGTCTTTAACCAACTAAAATTGATAGGATCATATGAAGTTTGAATCTCTCTACCCCTGTATATATAGTAATTTAATTGAAAAAAACCTATAATTTATTCTCAATAGTTTGGAAATGCTAAAATATATAAAATACTTCTTAATTTTAAGTTAGTTGTATATAACACTCATAATATTTTAAAGCTTAATAGTAATCTCATTAGCCTCTCTCTTTTTTTTAATTCTAAACCCCCATCGTTAACTTTTGCTGTTAACTTGCTAATTGAAACTCCAAAGTCGAAGTAACGAGGATTGTGTGGCATCTCATAAAAAATCAACCTCATATCTAGAAGTTGGTGAACCAAGAACTGTGAAATACTAAAAATGGCCCCATTTTTCTTAATTTTTTTTTTTTTTAATCATAAGTCCGTCAAGTCAATCGCCAAAATTATGCTCTGATTCCTCTTATTTGGAATCCCTAGCCGGCTAGCCGGTGAGGTAGGGTTTCAAAAAAAAAAATTTCTCTCGCGTGTTCCCTTTGGTTAAGCGTGCGGTGTTAGTTTGCGTGTCAGGTTGTCCTCATTCATTCGTGGGCTACAAGTATTTGTTCGAGTAATCTACCTCAGTGCGCGCGTTGATTTGTATTCCCAATTAGTCTCTGCCTCTCTGTAGTTTTAGAAAACTTGCACTGTGGATTTGCTACAGTGCTCATCCAATCCTGTTGCATATCCTGCTCAGCCCGCATTCTTTTCTCTCATTGACTAAAAGAACGAAATCGAGTGTCAGGGCTTTTTTTGTGATGGGTCAGGTTATACCGGATGTTTGTGCGCAAGGGTCCGACGACTTACTATGTCTCCTACTGTGTCTGAGTGTTGATTGCTTCTGTGTCTCTTGCTTTTGCTGCTTCGGTCTCCTTGTGTTGTTCTCATGCATCCGTTTGTGTTTCCTCCTTGCAGGTCCTCAGCCGTGGAGGAGGTGTTGGGTTGCTCATCTGTGACGGCTGCCGATGCAAGTAACGTTTCCCCCATTTTTTTTTGATAATTTTATAAATTTGTAATTTTTTTCTCCCTTTATATCTTTCACTAGAACTTTTTAAAGCCCGCCCATTTTGCTCGAACCTCTTATTTTGTCATTATTTCTCTTTCGATGTTCTCCCCTTTTCTCGCTCCCTTTTCATCGGTCATCCTCCTACCAGTGTTACTCTTCAATCCCCATGGCTTCTCATTTTGTCATCGTTGCATGCTTCTTTGACGAGACCTGAATTGCACGGTCAATCTCCTTGCACGAGGTCATAAATTTCGGCGAGAGTCATTTGGAAGCAAGGTAGTTCTTGCAAATGCTATGTTCTTCTATCTCCTTTTAATTTTCTTGATGTGAAATTTCTAATTATTTTTTATTATTTTCCTTTAACTGTAAGAAGAAAAACAGCGCATTGCTTTCTGTCATCGCCATACAATCTTAACACATTGTATCCAAATCCTCTTTTTGATAGCATGAAACTTTAATCTAGGAAGTAGGGGTGAGTTCAATTGCAATATTCTCCTTCTATGAAATTTTTAGTTAATTTACTGTCACATAATCCTCATTTTCATTCATTGTGGAAATTAATTTTTAGCATTTTCAGTTTAATTGAGCTTTTAGTTTTGCTAGTGATTCAATTTGTATTGTCGATGATAGGATTAGATGTTTATATTCATTGACTTGAAGATAATAGATACATTCAGTTTACACTTTGCGATGAATCATTGATGACTTGAATAATGATTTTTTCTATCATTTTATATTCCTTTGTTGCTTGCTTATGATTTATGAATTTGTGCTTGCCATCTGATTTTGTTGATTTTCTAATAATGATAAATAAATATGAGGAATTATAGTTAAAATTAAAGAAAAAGTGCAACTTTTTGGAATCCAAAGTTCAACTGTTGTGCTTTTGGATTGTCTCTAATGCTATTTTGAAATCCAAAATGCTAAATATTTTGATATGATAAACTTGGTCACAGAGCTAAGCTGATGCTTTTGATATCCCTGTCTTAATTTTCTTCTTTGAAATTCTATTTTTGGCTCTAATTTTCTTTGAATTGCATTCTATTTATTTGTTTATAAAGGAAATGAAAGGGTAACTACCTAACTGAGATAAACTTGAGGTATCTGCTGTAGAATGCCGAATAGTAACAATATGTTGTGATATTGTGGAACTTGACTTTTTGAGTTCAGGTTAAGGATTATACTTCCTCTAAGGCTGATGAATTGGCAATTGGCCTTAATATGGTAAATGGTCTACGTCTTGAGGCTATGTCTTGTAATTTGTCATGCCATGTTCTTTGTACTTAAACTTTTTGTATAAGCCATTGTTGGAGACCACTGCTTTTTTCTTTGTGTGTTTATTTCAGAAATTTTGGTGAAGCTATTGCTGTAGGATTTTGAATGCTTAACATGCACAATTTATTCAAGAGCAGTGTTTCTGATGTAACACACACGCACACACCCTCACACAGATTTGAATAGAGGGAGAGAGTAGAGAGAAACGAGAAATAGGGAGGGAGAAATGAAGAACAGAACAATGGGGGAGCAAGGGAGAGGGAGACAGTATGCAGAGAGAGGGGGAGAGCTTCTGAATATGCAAATTTAATATTCATGTATTATGAAAAATTTATGTAAATTGTGTTAGCAAAGAATATGGTGGAAGTGGTGTTGTGAAAGGAAACTTGTTGATCAAGCTGTAAGGTAATTATTATTAATGTATAATTGATTGTGATTTTTGTTGTATTTGGAAAATTATGTTGGTTTAGAAAGAATATATTTTTGTTTGAAAAAAATAATGGTCAAGTGGGTTGAATTGTATTTGAGTATTATGTTTGGTATAATATTACTGTTTAGAAATATGAAATTGTTTATATATGTTTTTATTCAGAAATATTTGAAATATACATGAACTGTCGAGTTTTGAAATGTGTTGTTGGAAATTTTGTCTAGAGTTATTTTACTATGTGGTAAGCCCTCATTAAATTCAATAGGTGGCTTGTAGCTTGGGCTGATTTACCTTTGATCGAGTGACTTAGCTTCGAGCACGATGTATGGAGGGACATAAGGTGCTGCCGTGCAAAATTATTTTTGTCCAAATTGTTTGGATATCATATGTATGGAAAATAATCTTGTATGCCCATTTAACAATCACATGGTTAATTATATTGCATGCATTATTACATATTAATTTGGTTATTGGGACCTTTGTGCCTCATCCATCATAGTTAATATTTTACAAGAGCGAGTCTAGCTGAGGAAGCATTAGAGGCCTATATTGGTGTATGAGGCACCAACCCATTTTGCTTTTTTCTATTTTGGTTAAGTAATATGCATATTTGCTAATCTAGGGTAATATTTTATTACAATTGAGCATATAGACTCTATATTTGGATTGACAGTATTTCGGTTCGTCATGGAGATTCTATTTGTCACTCATGGCGCATTAATTGACTTTGCAAAACGGTCTTTGTTGTTTGCTTGGAACAATTATGCTATGAACAAACTTTAGAATTTGGATTTAACTAGTTATAATTATACAACCCTGAGGGATGACTATAACCCACCTATAACTTTACTTAATTCTTATTTAGATTATGTTTGTTAAATTATGTTAGATATGGATGTGCTGTTGACAAATGTACATCATAGAATAGACTTTGGTTAGGTCATGTTTTTAAATTGTGAAAAGTGTTATTCAAGCCCATATTGGATATTGATGAATAAATTTATGCTTGGAAAGGGTTATCAATCTAACTAGAGTTTGGGGTGATTATTTTGTATGGACATTTCTATTACTTTGTTGTCTATTTACAAGTGATAGAGTGATATTTTAGATTTAAACCACCCTTGGAGACCATGCTTCTCTTGTGCTTATAATTTTTATCAAAACATTGGATTTTAAAGATGTGTTTTCAATGGAATCCCATTACATACCTATTATTTAACATTATTTTTATTGGCATCTATTTAACTAAATTATACAGTTTTTTAATTACTATGGTAGGTCTATTTTGCTATGTTTAGTCTTTTCTACCATTGTAGTTTGTTTTGAGAAATGTTTTATTATATTTTAAAAAAGTTTCTACCATGTTAAACCTTTAAAAAATAATTTTGACTCTTAACTATTACGATAAATTATTTTCTATCATAATAAGATTTGAGATAAAAATTATATCTAAAACTCTTTTTATCATGATAAATATCTAATTACCAGTATTTTTTAAAATTAGTTTTATTTTGTATTATTTTAATAGATACTTTTCTACTAAGGTAAGTATTTAATAGTTAATAGTTAATTACCTTTTTATATTTGTGTGAAAGATAGTTGTGAAATTTAGAATATTACATATATCGATTCACATGTTCTTGTACATTATTTTATGTAACGCAAGTTGCTCCATATGAAACTTTTTTTTTTTAAATACAAAGGCCATGGCGAACCGTGCAGGAAGACTTTCAACAACTAAAATTAAAATAAAAGGGGTAGAATACTTGTATTACATTTTTAGTTTTACCATTCAGAAAAAATGAAAATAATTTTTTAAAATTATATAAATGATAATTTAGTTTCTTGAAATGTCAAAATTTCACTGAAGTCTCTAGAGGCTTCTTTGTCAATAAATTTTAAATTAAAAGGATATTTTTATCTTTGTTAATAAGTTATAATTTTTTGTTCAATTCTTACAATTTTTTAAATTAAAATTATAATTTTTTAAATAAAAGTTGTAAATAGAGTTTGTTATTTTAAAAACTTATTTTTGAATAATAAAAATTACACTCTATAAATTGTGATTTCTTGTTCAACCCTTGCAATTCACAAAACAAATTATTCTTTAAGCGAAAGTTGTGATTGTGATTTTTTTTTTAATAATAAGAAATTACAATTGATAAGTTGTGATTTCTTATTCAATTCTTGTTATTTACATGACAAAAATTGTTATTTCTTAAACAAAAATTATGATTTGGGCTTGTTATTTTTAATAAAGGTAAAATGATCTTTTCACTTTAAAATTTATTAATATAGGAGTTTTTAAAAACTTTATTAAAATTATGATATTTTAAAGAATCTGATTGTTATTTATGTATATCGGAAGAATTTTATTATCATTTTTCCTTCGTTTAGAATGTGGAAAAACTTATTGTTTTTATTGAAACTTATTATCCCCGTGTAATCATTTTTTTGAATGAAAATGGAAATCAAACTACAGTAGTAGCAATACAAAGCAAAAGGCAACAATAACAAATCTTTGATCAACTTTTACCATGCTAAGAAAGGTTTTTTATCATAGATATACAAATTGCTTACAAAAAGTTATGACAATTCCTAATTGAGCAATCAGCTAGGCAAATTAGCATTCTATGTATGAAGTTAAGTGAAATAGACCAATCCTTGTTGAGTAAGTTCTTTGTCTCATTAATGAGTTCTTGACAAGGATACGACAGTCCAAGAAGAGCTCCACGTTGTGAAAGCCATGAACCTATCAAAATTCCAGTCCCATCTGGATCCCAATTAGCTCAGCAATCGTTGACGAAACATAACCTAGTTTGCAGCAAAAGCTTGAATCCCAATTGTCCTGTGTGCCTCTGATTGTACCAGCAAGCACCGAGCCATCTGTATCTACTCTAATGAAAACAGGACTAGGTGGATGCCAGCTTCGTTGATGATGCAATAAACCTCTTTTGCTATCAAATTTTTCAAGTAGTTGACCAATTCCCGTGTGTTCTTCAGCAATCGTACACGACAGTCTCAACCTCTCAATTAGTAAATTCATGGAAAAGTTAATGGAAATGATTTTGTAATAAAAAAAAATAAAGAAATTCTGTAGATTGATATTAAATTTTAAAATATTAGGAGGGTTATGTGCAAGTAACTTAAAATTTTAAAAAATTGTATTTAATCTTTTGGAAATGATTTGACAGTACCGGTCTGGCCCATTTCCTAATACTCCTCATGCATAAAAATTAATTTTAAAAAAAATGGTGGGTTTTTTTACGTACAAATTGTTACTTGTTAGGTGTTCCTCACGCTATTCCATTGGATCGCTTGCGCCTTCGCTTCCTGCGGCCCCGCTACACGCACATTCACGTCACTTCATTTATTCTATGTCTCAACATTTTTTTATATGGAGCTCACTTCTTTCTTTCTTTCGTTAAAGCAAAACAGCACAAGCCTAACTTGTTTCTAACAACGGCTAATCTCTGGAAATAATCAAATTATTGAGAAACAATGTGATTTTTCTTTACATGTGAACTCTCATTCACCTCATCGTCCAAACCATGCGCCCTTTATATAACATAGAAAAGATTTTTTTATCCTTTTTATTAGTTACATTATTAAATTTTTGTTACAAATTACCTTTTTTACCTACTATTAAATGTTGGCAGAAAATATATTGTTAAATACTCCTTTCAATTCTATTTATTAGGTAAAAAGACTTTTTTTTATTCTATTTATAAGTCATATCATTAAATTTTCATAATAATTTTTTTTTAATATTTCATTGAATGTTGAAAAAAAATATGTTAGTAAAGTATGTATAGTTGATAAAAAAAATTTGATAATTTAATAAATTTATAGACAAAATTAATAGGGTTTAAGTATTTTTTTGTTTTAATAAAATATGCTAAAATAATTTATAAATAAAAATAAATAAATATGTATATTTAATAGGGACAAAATTGAAAACTACTTAAATTTTTAGACAAAGCTAAATGATAATTAGTTTTAAAGTTTTTCTTAATTTTGATAAATATGTTGAAAATCATTAATAAATAGAATTACAGTAGTACTTTAAAGTGATACTGTTTCACTAAGCATAATTAATAATGTAATACTTCAACAATAGAAATCAAATCAAACCATACGATTGGGATCTCCCTTGGTTGTTTGAGTTGAAAAGTCACCAACTATAATAAATTTACGCGCCATTCATTAATTCATTAATATTTCTAAAAACATTTTATGGTATTGATAAATTTGTCATGAAAGTCTGATAAGGCCTCTTTTAATTAATAGAGTTTAAGTTATTCTAATCCTACCAAGCTATTTATTAATTTTTAATTATTAATCCATCCAACCCTTATTATAAGGCATTATTTCTAACAATCTCATTGCACTTAAGAGAGGTGATTAAATTATTAATTTTGTTTGAAAATATAATCAACTTTCAATTTTTTCCATGACTAAATGAAAATTTTTCAAATTTTTATTGCATTATCTCTCATAATTTATGGGTTTAAAGCGAATAATATTAAAAAAATATAATTAATGTCCCATCAAATGCCTTATATTAAGGATCAAAAAATGTTTCTACAAAGAGTCCTATAATAAAGACCGGAGGGAACATTTAGAAAACTCCTACTCCTTCCAATTCCTATTATAGTCTTATAGAGCACATTTTTTTAAAAAATAAATCTTGGATCCTTAATATAAAACATTTGTAGGGTTATTTTACTATTTTTTAATTTTATCTCTGTTGTAAATTTAATTTTATGACTTATCATATATTATAGATCTCTCTCTTTCTATTTTTATGAGGGTTAAAGTTGAAAAAAAAAACATTTTAAGATTTATTTAATTAAGTAACTGTCATTCTTCTTTTAACTATTAATTGTATTATATTTAATTTTATAATTCATCATATATTTTATATCTCCCCTCCTATTTTGAAGGCATTTTAAGATAAAATAGGGTTTGAATGGTGAAAGAGTGGATAGAGAGAAGAAGGTGGAGGGTGAGGAGATCAAGGAGAGGAAATAGAGACTTGGAGGGAGGTGCATCATGAGAAGATACTAGAAAAGATGACTAGTGATCGTGGTAAATAATAAATATCAGGCGTGCCAGAGACGCTGAGTCTCAATTGATAATAAAAGAGTCACGAGCTTCCTTACCACAATTTACTCGGATGTAAAAAGATACAAGTAGAACAAGTATTTGATTTTATTGAAATGTGGAAAAGGTTACAAGTATAAACTAAAAGATTAACTAATAAACTAAAAGGCTAAAAAGTATAAAATGTGAGTCTTTGATTGAGTGTTGACTAGTTTGTTTCGTGTCTTCGTCTTCTATTTATAGTGTCAGAGTGATGGTGACCTCTTTCTTAAGACCTAGTATGTTCTGCCGAAGAATCAAGGATTCCGCGAAACTCATGGCACGGTCTTTATTCCATGCTCTCCATTTTGATAATC